TGGTGCACTGCGGCTGGCACACCACGCTGATCCGATGGTAGGAGCCAGGTACTTATCCTGGTCTCCCATGGGGTGCAGGGCCCAAGCACTTGGGCCATCCTCCACTGCACTCCCTGGCCACAGCAGAGAGCTGGCCTGGAAGAGGGGCAACCGGGGCAGAATCCAGCACCCCGACCGGGACTAGAACCTGGTGTGCCGGCACCGCAAGGCGGAGGATTAGCCTAGTAAGCCGCGGCGCCAGCCCTTTGTCTCTTTTAACTGTTTGGATGTTAAAGTCTGTTTTGCCTGATATTAGGATGGCGACATCGGCTCTTTTTTTGGTTTCTGTTAGCATGGATTATCTTTGCCATTCTTTCACTTTCAGTCTGTGAGTATCATTGTTGGTGAGATGTGTTTCTTTTAGGCAGCAAATAGATGGGTTTTCTTTTTTAATCCATTCAGCCAGTCTCTGTGTCTTTTAACTGAAGAGTTGAAGCCATTTGCATTCAGGGTGACTATTGTTAAGTAATGACTTTGCCCTGCCATATTTCCGTTAATAGTCCTATTTTTAAACTTTGTGTTTCCTTTGTGCATTTACTGCCTTCACCTTCTTTTGTAGTGATGTCTGTTTCTGTGTGTAGCACATCCATGAGCATTTTTTTGTGTGGCTGGGCAGGTAGTGACATGACACATTCTTAAAATTTCTGTTTGTTATGGAAGGTCTTTATTTCACCTTCATTCACAAATGAGAGCTTTGCAGGGTACAGTATTCTGGGTTGATTTTTTTTTTTTCTCTTAAGACTTGGAATATATCTTGCCATTCTCTCCTAGCCTGTAAGGTTTTTGATGAGAAGTCTGCTGTGAGCCTAACTGGAGTTCCTCTGAATGTAATCTGGTGATTCTCTTGTGTACAATTTAGAATCTTTCCTTTATATTTCACTGTGGAGAGTTTTACAATGTGTTATGGTGAAGCTCTTTTATGGTTGTGTCTACTGGGAGTTCTATGTGCTTCCTGTTCTTGGATGTCCCCTTCTTTCTCCCAATTGGGGAAGTTTTCTGGTATTTCATTAAGGCGGCTTTCTAATCCTCTCTTTGCATGTCCTCAAGAATTCCTAGGACCTGTATTTTGGGTTGTTTGATAGTATCTTGTAGATCTCCAATACTGTCTTTTAGTTTCCTATTTTCTTCTTGTTTTTGGTCTGACTGTAAACTTTCCAGAGATTTGTCTTCTAGTTTGGATATTCTTTCTTCTCCCTCACCTACTCTGTCAAGTCTTTCCACTGTTTTATTTGATCTATTGAATTCTAGTATTTCATCTTGATTTCTCTTTAATATCTCAATTTCATGGGAAAATTTTTCACTCATGTATAGTTTTCTTTAGTTCGTGAATTCGCTTCTGATTGCTTCTAAGTAATCTGGTGATTAGGTTTCTGAATTCTCTTTCTGGCATTTCCTAAATCTCTTCATCTTCACCTTCTAGTTGAATTGTAGTGTTCCTTTGGGGGGGGGGGGCTATAGTGTCTTCCTTATTTTTTTCCTTTTTTTTTTTGTCATTTGTGTATTTTTTTTTTAACTGTCTGGTGGCTTTTATCTTTGGTTCGTGTCTCTGTGACTTAGTTGGGACATCTGTACTTCCAGTGAAAACCAAGAGATGTGCTCTGGGTGTGGCTAGAATGCTCTGTTCAGTATTCTAGGGTGAAGCAAGCATCCAAGGTAAGACCCCCACTGGGCTTGGTAGCTGTGCTCTGGTTATCTGGATGGAGAATGGTCACCTCTGTTGGCATGACCTGCCCTTCTCCTCACAGCTCTGGGATGCTCCAGCATTCGTCCCTGGTGTGCTCAGCACTCATTCGCACTGCTTAATGAACTGCACATTTGATCTGTGGAGTCTTTACTGTGAGCACCGTTCCATTACGAGCTGCCATAGATAACCGAGGAGCTCAGGGCGAGTGGAGAAGCGCTCTGTAGCTGCCCAGGGCTGAGCCATACTTTGTCTCCTCTTATGCAGTTCTCTGACTCAGCTCCCAGCGTGGGTTTTTCCTTCTGTTAAGTCTCTGGATGGTGGGCCTGCAGAGGCCCCACCCACTGGAGGCCTGCTCACTTCTTGGTGGTGGGGGGTAGGGTATTGACATAGGCAGGGCTTCCCTCTCCCTCCCTTCCCATTTCCAGGCAACTGGTTCAGTATAGCTTGGAGAGGGAAGGAGTCTTCTCAATGGTTGTGGCCCTCGCTGTTTGGGTGGGGGGGTGAGGCGACCCCTGCTATTGCTGGACGCATCCACTGGAGATAGCCACCTGCCTGTGTCCTAAACAAATGGTGTGACCCTTCTCCCAGCTGGATGCAGGCCTCTGCTCTAGCAGGTGTGTGTGTGTGTGTGCGCCACCCTCTTCCTGCCTCTGCTGTCCCAGGGTACTCGTGTGGAACTTCAAAAGCAGCTCACCAACTCTCCCTCCTGTCACGTGAGGCCCCATGGGTCCGAGGACTCCCCTCTCACCTGGTCTGTCAGGGCTGGTGTTCTCCCTGGGTCCAGGCTTCTGCTTTTTTGGTTGCATATTTGCTCTTTTGGTGCAGACCTGGATTGTCTCTATTGTTTTCACTGGGTTTCCTGCTGTGGATGTTCCATGGCTTTATCTTGAGCATGCATTTTCTCCCCTTTTGAAAGCTCATGTCCAGTGTGAGCCCATTGTATGAATTTCTCTGTAGGTCTGTTTCTCTCTTGGCCCTTAGTAATTTCTGATGGGATGTGGAAATCGTAAATAAGAAACTAGAAGCTACAGACAAAATGATCCTTTCCAAGCAGCCACCCTGTCCCCTGGCCAACCAGAGTACAGACCCTCAGTACAGTCAGACTGAGTGAGTTCAAGGCTGGGATTCAGGTTTTACCAAGTGGGCTCTACTTGGGTTTACAACTTCCCAGGTGTAGTGTGGGTCAGACAGAGAGGGGCCAGGGTATTTGTAGAGATCTTCCTCCTAGGGATCCCTAAGTTTGTTTGGCTTTTTTCATATTTGAGAGACTGCCCAATGTTTTGCTGGACCTTTCACCTTCTTTCTTATTTTTTGGTAAGTTTCTCACCTCCCACAACAACAAAAATCGGCAAATGCCTGGGAAGAAAACCAGCACACCATGAAGGGTCACTCTTGGTGTGCTCCCTCTCTCGGGATCTTTGTCAGTCACATCCTGGCCCTCTGATGACTTACAGACGTTGCCTACATTGTCTTCAGCGCCTCTTATTCTCGGTGTCAGAGCTAGAAATGGGAAGTAGATGATAAGTAATCTTTAAACTCCTGTTCTGGATGTTTGTGCAGATATTGTCTTATTTATCTTAAAGTCTCCCTTTCCATTTATTACATCAACTTTATTGAATATTTTCATGAAATGGAATTGGACTTTCTTGGAAAAATTGAGGCATTATGGTTACAGCTGTATAAAGTGCTATGTAAGTTATTTCTATGGTATAAAACAACTGGTCTCAATGAATTTGAATTCACTATAGCCTACCTACCTCTAGGGAGAATTTTTTAAAAGAAGACACTGCTTTCCCTTTGACATACATTGTGACTCCACGGCATTTCCACACGCGAACACCAATCCTGACAAACCCCTGGTGAGGAAGAGGCTGCAGCACAGGAAATCCACGGCTCAGGTAGACTCACCCAAGAGCAGTACATTCCCATGGTAGGAGGTGGTGGGGAATGCTTTCCTCAGTCTGCCTTCTTTCGAATCTGCAATCCTGGCTGAGGTCTGAGTTCTCCTGTTACCCAGTGCCCAGGCCAGCACAGAGGTCCAGAACCACTCTAACCACCCCCACTTCCCAGTCCCAGCACTTAGCATTCATCAGGCCTAGTCCTTTCAAAGTGGAAGTCAAAGTGTTAACCCCACTTTACCACTTAAACGTTAGGTGCTTAGGTAGAACCACAGGACTACAGAAAGCAGTACAAGTTCTTTACTTCTGGCACAGCTGAGTCTTGAAAGGCCAGGAAAGATGCATTTGTAGAGCTATTCTAAAACATCAAGTGTGAGACAAAGTCAACTAAGTTTAAATATGTAAGAGATCTCCCTCTAGCTGCCATTAATCGTGAGTGATCCAGGGCTTGTTTTGAGAAAAGCCAAGTCAAAGCAACAAACACTTCCGTCAGTTGGCCTTTCTGGAAAAAGAGGTTTTGGTGAACCTAAGTAGCTACACGTGTGACCCTCCACACTGTTAGCACTAAGATGATCAAGGTCCCACTTCCCCCCTTAGGAATCACACAGGACATACTCACAATCGATTAGGGTCTGACAGCTCATCTACCCCACAAAGTTAGGGTTGAGTGTCATAAATGAGATCTTTCAGTGCCTGCTAAAATTCACACTAAATAAAAAGACAATCTGTAACTGGACTTGTCCCTGGTGAGGTGGAAAGCACGGACTGCTTTTTCACATTAAGTCTCAAGCACTAGGCATGGGAACAGGCATTCAGTGTTTGAGAAGAGCCTGCCTCTTCTCTTTGGTAACCTGAAGGCCATGTCAGTAATGAACAGCAGGCCATTTTTAATCAACTCAGTAGCTCATGAGCATTACTTTGTGAACAGTCAGGCAGGCCAGTACCATGTTCACTTTTAGCCAAATCCCCTTTCCAGGGCCAGGCTCACCCATCTTTTTTTTTTTTTTTTTTGACAGGCAGAGTGGACAGTGAGAGAGAGAGAGAGAAAGGTCTTCCTTTGCTGTTGGTTCACCCTCCAATGGCCACTGTGGCCAGTGCGCTGTTGCCGGCATACCACGCTGATCCGATGGCAGGAGCCAGGTGCTTCTCCTGGTCTCCCATGGGGTGCAGGGCCCAAGGACTTGGGCCATCCTCCACTGCACTCCTTGGCCACAGCAGAGAGCTGGCCTAGAAGAGGGGCAACCGGGACAGAATCCGGCATCCCGATGCCGCAAGGCGGAGGATTAGCCTATTGAGCTGTGGCGCCAGCCCAGGCTCATCCATCTTAAGATTACAGGGTCTCCCCCCTCTTAACAGTGAGAGAAAGCATGTTTAAGGAGTTACTTTAAAAACCTTTTTATTCTCTTTTGAAGGGGCATGTCTGCCCTCCGGCTGCATCCCCGGCAGGAGGCGCTGAGCTGTCACTCTGCACGGCGAGCACTTTGAGGCCGGCTTTCAGAGAAGCCTGTGCTCTTCGTTAAGACTCCATGGGCGTGTCCGAGCTCCTGCTTCCGAAAGGGCCGCTGACAGATGAACTTCTCGTGCTGCCGAGAACAAGCCGCTCTCGTCTTCCAAACGCTTCATTTACTAAAACACAGTAAGTGCTCAGGAAATTAGCAGTTCATGATATAGAGACTAAATGTGGAGAAGAGCAATGATGTCTCTATTTTTAGAACCAGCATAAACACTTAAGTGCCACTTTACAAAAAGAAAAGTAACCTGGAAGTGAATCGCCACTTGCAAGGGTTCTTTGTGTGCTGTCTTCTCCTAGACTGACCTCAGCTGCTCTGATAATGGAGCTCCTATCTCTCACAACAGTGCCTCTGTCTTTTATTCTACACTTGATTAGTTCTATTTTCTTTCTTTCATCTTTGCTCCTATCACTGACCAGCACACAGTCTGTCTGTAGGAGAGAGCTCTATAGCAGAATGACCTGAGAGAACTCTCAGGATCCCTCTGTAGGGAGGGCGGGGTCAGGAAGCATACACTGGAGAGACCGCTCAGGGGAGGTGCACTCACAGGGGTAACTGGGGGGGGCGAGCGCCACTCTGATCCCTCACCGCACGTCCTCAGAACGTCTTTGTTGTTTTCAGCTCTTCTACTGGCATGAGTGTGGAGACAAAGCTATGCACCCATGAACACCGCAAACCACACCGGACCCTGTCTTGGCATGCCCCACCTTTGCTGCCCATGTAATGTATGTGAGCCACACATTCTACTGTCCTAAAAGGACTAACACAGATTCTCACCTGACGAGACCGTGCTTATGTCCCAGACCCGAAGTCCTTCTTTCTGACCTCCAAAGGCGTAAACAAATGGTAGATCAGGGCAACAGGAGGAACAGAAGAGAACTCCCTGCGGAGAAAACAGTCAGTGACTTCGATTTTTCCCGAGAGCTCATTACTCTGGAACGCCACTCTTCCTGGTAAGGACCTACAGTGGGAAAAGCTACCCGAAACCAGCTCACCAATATTCCCCTGAAGCCCACGGTCAGGATGGGGGTGGGGGGACATTAGTGTGGTATGAAGCTGTTTAAGCTCAGCCCCATGGCCACCCTATGAGGACATGGGTATGCTCTGACCACTTGGCTATCTCGCCATTCTGTCTTAAAGGGATTTCCACATAAATCTAATATGTATTTCCAAAACCTTCACTATCCTGACAGTGCTACTGCAGGGCACAAATAATAATCATTTTAAGACCTATGTTTTCATTTTATAATATTGATGTATGATGGGAAATACCAGCATGAAAAAATGTTAATCTCAGTGAAATAACCACTGTATTTGTTGGGGGCTGGCGCCGTGCTCACTTGGCTAATCCTCTGCCTGCGGTGCCGGCACCCCATACGGGCACCAGTTCTAGTCCCGGCTGCCTCTCTTTCGATCCAGCTCTCTGCTGTGGCCCGGGAAGGCAGTGGAGGATGGCCCAAGTGCTTGGGCACCTGCACCCCATGGGAGACCAGGACGGAAGCACCTGGCTTCAGATCGGTGTAGCTCCAGCCGTAGTGGCCATTTGGGGAGTGAACCAATGGAAGGAAGACCTTTCTCTGTCTCTCTCTCACTGTCAAATAAGTAAAAAATTAAAAAAATCTGTTGGATTTGAAGATAAGCGTGAATGTTTTCCGGGCTGGTATTGTGGCATAGTGGGTTAAGCCCCCACCTGCAATGCCCCCACCCCAGATGAGCACTGGTTCAAGTCCCAGCTGCTCCATCCCTGAGCCAGCTCTTCGTTAAGGCGCCTGAGGAAGCTCCTGGTTTCAGCTTGGCCATTACAGCCATTTGGGGAGTGAACCAGCAGATGGAAGATCTGTCTCTCACTCTTTCTGTGACTCTGCCTTTCAAATACATAAATCTTAACAATGTTTACCTTCCCCGGAGTAACTAATACACAGGTACATGATTTTCAACAGCTATGTGGTGTTCTGTGATCTATCAAGCTCAGTGCCTGGTACACAACAGGTGTTCAATACAGAAAAATTCCTGGTTCTTTCTAAGCATCAGGATTTCCTAGGGTGAGACAATGGCCACTTCACCTGTGTCCTAGAGAAGCCCTCGCCCCCTCCTTACTCGACAGCTGTTACTCGTGTGAAGTAGAAACTGACCCTCCGAGTCTCTCTTCTCCCAGAATGGTCTGAGGCCCCTAAACCTCCCACCACAATTAACTTCCCAACTTGTCCACATTCTTTACTGCACTGATTCCCCGAGAATGACAAGCGACACAGGTGAAAAACAGAAAACTAAGAGACTCAGGGAGATTCTTACCATTTTCATGTCCCGGGAATGAACCAGACTCGGCCTGTCTCCCAGTATGTCCCAGATCTTCACGTATTTGTCTGCTGATGCAGTCACAAGACAGCCCTTGATCTGACTGCTGAGATCAAGCCCTAAAAGGAAGACAGTGTTAATTCAGACTCACCTTCAAATACAGATTTACTTCCTCACAAGTTAATAGAAATCAAAGAAATACTATTCTTACTCACCAGAGATTTCATCATTATGTGCATTAAGTGTAAAAACCGGCTTGTCTGAACGTGCATCCAAATTATACACAAAGCCGTCATCCGTGCTGGCCTGCAGGGGTAGGAGGGGGACAGCCATGCTATATGACCACAGACTCGGCAGTGGACAAACACGCAGCCTAAATGTGACTTACCTGCGGGGCTTGTTCAGGATTAACGCGGACAGAAAGAATTTACTTGTGGAAGAGCCATGTCTCGGCTCACATGGACCACCTCTGATATGTTCATTACTTAGGCAGATAGGCGTACGAAGCTGTAGTGAATGGAATGGGACGGGACCCAGCCATGTGGAAGCACAAAGCTGAGAGTAACACCCACGAGGCAGAGGTGACAGGCCCGGCCGTGGAACATGGAGAGAGCAGGTTTCTACAGGTGGAGCAAGGAGGCAGCTGCGCTAGATGTGCCGGCGACCATCTCCCCCCAGAGAAACCAATCTGTAGCGCAGTCATCAAGTTCCCAGCATGAGAGCCGAGAAGCCAGGAGAGATACCACGGTGCCTGGACTAAGTCTAACAGTGAGAAAAGATGCATGGAAGGAGGCTGAAAGGTACCACTTGCTCACATCACCCTTCCCCAAGCTCCACGCAGCACACGTAGAGAAAGGTACCTTCCACTCTGCTCAGGAGAGGCAGAGGTGGTTAGGCCGTCCTTACACCTGAAACTCAAAACCAGGCTGCTACAGTAGAACCTACAGCCCCACGGCTCCTTTCCCCAGGCGATACCTGCAGACTGGGCCTTCGCACTCTCCTTAGCCAGGTGGCCAAGGGACCACTTCCATCCTCCCTCCCCCAACCTTCTGCAGACAGCAGAGCAAGTGTCCAGCCACTGGTGAGTGAGGCAGAAAGGTAGCTTAGGACTGCCTTGAAGCTCAGTGCTAGGCCTGCAACAGGGGACCCAGCACCACAGAGAGGCCAAAGGCCTCTATTCCCGGGCCGCGCCTGCAGACAGAACTTTTGGATCTGCCATGGCACCAAGGAGACCTGCATGCTGGAAGGACAAGCACTTCAGCCCGCATCACTGCGAGTCTTGCACAGGCCAGCTTACATCCTAAGACTGCTCAGGGCCCAGAGACTCACTCAGGCATGACTCAGCTTAGTGTCAGCAGGGGCGGCCAAAGGGAACTGGTAACCCATCACCGGGCAGATACTAGCGGTCCCCACCTCTAGGCCCCGGGCTGTACATGGAATCGCTGGGCCACCCCAGTCCCAGATGGGGACTCGTGGCCCCAGCAGCATCACCTGTGGCTGCCTGCAGTGCCCCAGGGCTCCAGTCCACCTCAGCAGCAGGCTGCCCAGAGTGAAATGGGTCTTGCTGCACTGGTCTTGGCAGGCTGTGGCCTTGAGTGTGACCTAGCACGGCAGAGCAGGTGGCCACACTACTGCTCATTTTACTCCTCCTCCAACCCTAGCAGTCTAACGAGTGATGTCTGCTTGGGGGAAGAAAGGCCAGGATGTCAAGACACTACACGGAAAGCTGGGGATGGTGCTACAGTGACCCTGGCCATGTCCCTGACAACATGGGAACGCAAGGGGCTCCTTCAGGACCCCAGCCACAGTGGGCTAAGGGCTAGCAATACCAGATCCCACCCTGAACACTGCTCCCAGAATCTATACCCCAAGCACCCACTGCTGCTACCATCAGTTCCTGTGGGAGGACGAATACGGAGACTACACTGTAGCATTCACCTGGAAATAGAATTTAGACAGCCTACCAAGCCAACACCACAGCCACATCTTCAGGAAAAAGCCTTTTACAACAGAAGCTACTTGCTGAAAATGAGAGTGATACCTCATCTGCCACAGGTCAGGTATCAACGAGGGACACAGCAGGACAAAGCAGGCACTATGATGCCCTAGAGGAACATGTCGGCGCTTCAGTGACAGAGTCCAGAGGGAAGATGCAATGCCTCATCAAAATTCAACAGAGTACAAGGATGCCCGAAGAGACACAAGAGAACACAGACACACAGCTGAATGGAAACAGGAAAACAAAGTGTGGCATGAATGAGGAATTCACCAGAGGGAGAGGGAGAAATCCTGGAAATCACCAAACAGAAATCCTGGAATTGAACTCAGTAAAAACAAACAACCAACCCCAAATCACGGTTGAAAGTCTTAATGGGCTAGATCAAGCACTAGAGAGAAAATCCATACTACCCAACATGATTTATAGACTCAATACAATCCCCCCATCAAAATACTAATTATATTATTTACAGAACTATAAAAACATAAAATTCATATGGAAGCACAAAAGAACAAGAATAGTTTTGAACAAGGTTGGAGGCATCAAAATGCCAGATTCCAAGACATACTCTGTTAAGCACGACAACGTAGTACTAGCAGATAATCAGACCGACCAATGGAAGAGTAGAGATCTCCTATGTGAATCCACACAAACACAGCCAACTGATGCAGGTGCCAAAACACTGCAGAAAGGAGGCCTCTTCCATAAATAAATGGTGCTGGGAACACTGGGTATCCACAGGCAGAAATCTGACACCAGCTCCCATCTCTAACTTCACAGAAAAGTCAACTCAAAACGGAGGGTTCTAGGGCCAGCACTGTGGCATAGTGGCCAAAGCCTCTGCCTGTAGCGCTGGCATCCCAAATGGGTGCTGGTTTGTCTCAGCTGCTCCTTTTCCATCCAGCTCTCTGCTTGTGGCCTGGGAAAGCAGGAGAGGATGGCCCAAGTGCTTGGACCCCCGTACCTGTGTGGGTCACCCAAAGGGAGCTCCTGGCTTTGGATGGGCCCAGCTCTGGCCATTACAGCCATTTAAGGAGTAAACCAGCAGATGGAGGACCTTTCTCTGTCTCTTACCCTGCCTCTCAAATAAAATCTTTAAAAAAAAAAAAAAAAGGAGTGTTCTAAGACCTGATACTATGAAGCTACTAGAAGAAAACAGGGGAAACACAGACACAGGTATAAGCAACAATTTTTTGGATAGGACCCCCAAAACAAAAGCCAAACTAGACAAATGAGATTATGTCAAACTAAGAAGATTCTGCACAGCAAAAGCATATGATCAACTGATAGAACAGGGAAAATATACTTGCAAAGTATTCATCTGATAAAGGATTAGTATCTAGAATATATAAGGAACTCAAAAACTTATTAAAAAAATCTAGTTAAGAAACGGGTAGAGCATATGAACAGGCATTTTACAAAAGAAGAAACACGAAGTGCTAACAAACATATGAGGGGAAAAACCCAATTATGAGCATCAGGGAAATACAATCAAGGCGACAGTGAGGTATTGTTTCACTCCAGTAAGAATGGCTGTTATCGGGGGCCGGTGCTGTGGCATAGCAGGTTAAAGCCCCGGCCTGCAGTGCCAACATCCCAAACGACCATGGGTTCAAGTCCTGGCTGCCCCACTTCTGATCTAACTCTGCTGTGGCCTGGGAAAACAGTAGAAGATAGCCCAAGTGCTTGGGCCCCTGTACCCACATGGGAGAACTGGAAGAAGCTCCTGGCTCCTGATCTGCGCAGTTCTGGCCGCTGCGGTCAACTGGGGAGTGGGCCAGCAGATGGGAGACCTCTCTCTCTGGCTCTACCTCTTGTAACTCTTTCAAATAAACAAAATAAATCTTTTAAAAAAATGGTTATTATCAAAATCACAAAAAATGTTGGCGAGGATGTAGAGAAAAGGGAAGGGTTATACAGTGTTGGTGGGAATGCAAATTAATACAGTGACTATGAACAGTATGATGTTCCTCGGAACACTAAAAACAGATCTATGATAGATCTGTGTGACCCAGCCGTCTCACTTTGGGTATACATCTGAAGGAAATGAAATCACCTCTCAAGGTACCTTCACTGCAGCTCTATGCACAACAATCAATAAAGTGGAATCCACCGAGGTATCCACTGATGGATGAGGAGATTAAAATGTGGTAAATACTTGCAATGGAGTATTATTCAGCCATAAAAATGAGTGAAATCCTGACACTCACAGCAGAGTGGACAGAACTGGAAGACAACATGTTCAGTGAAAATACGCCAGACACAGAAAACCAAATGCTGCACGTTACTGCATGTTCTCTCCCAAACATAGATGTTAAGAAGAAAATCGGGGTCGGCGCCGCGGCTCACTAGGCTAATCCTCCACCTTGCGGCGCCGGCACACCGGGTTCTAGTCCCGGTCGGGGCGCCGGATTCTGTCCCGGTTGCCCCTCTTCCAGGCCAGCTCTCTGCTGTGGCCCAGGAGCGCAGTGGAGGATAGCCCAAGTGCTTGGGCCCTGCACCTGCATGGGAGACCAAGAGAGGCACCTGACTCCTGGCTTCGGATCAGCGCGATGCGCCGGCTGCAATGCACCGGCCGCAGCGGCCACTGGAGGGTAAACCAACGGCAAAAGGAAGACCTTTCTCTCTGTCTCTCTCTCTCATTGTCCACTCTGCCTGTCAAAAAAAAAAAGAAGAAGAAGAAGAAGAAAAAAATCGACCTGAACTTAGAAAGTGGTTACTAGAGCAGGGAACAGTGAGAAGATACGGGACAGAGGGAAAAACGGGATACGGGATAGCTGGGTAACCAGTATCAAAACAGTGAGGTAGGAGTCCGCTCCAGTGGCCCACAGCAGTGAATAAAGAACTGGAAGAGCTGCTGGCTCCAATGTAAGAGGTAAGGACAGGGAAAGCTGAATTGCTGGTAGGCAAGTTTACACTGTACACCTGTGGTGAAATAGTATACTATATTCTGTAGCACATGTAAATAATTTTTTTAAAGAGAAAATTAAAAAGAGCCCTGAGTGGACAGCAGAGGCCCAGTGAGGACAGGTAGCCTAGGTCTGGGCTGGGCAGGAGCCCAGGGAACGGGAGGAGCAGAGCAGGAAGATGAGGGAAGAGAAGGAACAGGCAAGGAAGGGCAAGCAAAGACGACAAAGGCCGGCTGCAGCAGTCCTGACGGCTGGGCGGCCCAGACGAACGGAGAGGGCAGTGCCCTCCTGAGACCAGAGCCACCCCTCACCCCTGACTGCAGAGAGCCAAAGTACAGCCCGACACTGGCTTCCCCGGCTTTCCACCGCAGGTGACTGGGACCTGTCCCCCGGCTTCCGGTGCCGAGGGTGCAGCGGTCAGAGGACGCGTTCTTGGAATCGGCACTTCAGGACCTTTAGTAAATCTTTTAAGGAACCCGCTTTTAGAAAACTCCGTCCTTGCAGAACAATACATGGCTGCTCTAGGAAAACCGGGAAACACGCATGTGGGACATCTTGTTTAACCTTCCCTTCCTGATCAGAGTTGGCAGTTCACTTCTTCACGGACTGACAAGTACGCCACATGGAAAATGTCTCTGTGCAGACAATAAGGGTGATTACGGAAAGGTTTCTGCATTGGACAGTCTATTAATTACACAGGCTCATATTCTGCAGACCAGAGCGCCATTTACGTATGAGCATTTAAACAGAAGACTGTCTTCCTCCCTGACTCAGCCATTTAAAAAAAGCAAAGAATATTAACTATGCTTTGCATTTCAAAATACACCGCAAATTAAATGATCAAAAGCATTAAGTAACCATAAGATGTGGCATACTCTGAAATGGTTGGCGGCTACAAATCATTTACATATTCACGTATTTCTGTGTGATTGTAAAAACATTTTTTCAATACTAGTACCCAAATAACTCAGACTATTACTATAGTAAAAGCTTTTCAGAATTTCTCCACAATGGAATTACAGAAAATAACCTGTTGGTAAACTGAAAAAGCCAAACAATTACATGCACACTCTTACCAAAAAATGACAAGGTGAGAAGTGATTCCAAGTCACTCTCTCAATCTGCCCGCTGAAGCGCCACATCCGATTGCTCTCATCTGGACTCCGGCAGTCATATAAAGCCACCGACCTGGACACATTCGGGCAAAGTTAGGCTCTGAAGAGTCCGGGCTTCAGGTCTCTTTGTGTGTAATGAAATGGTAATAAAATAGTATGGCAACGTCAAGATTCTATTATTGGAAGCCTGCCATAAGGTTCTACAACAAGGGGCTGACTCTGTGGCACAGGTTATCTCTGCCAGCAGCACCAGCATCCCATATGGGCACTGGTTTGAGTCCCGGCTGCTCCCCTTCCGTTCCTGCTCTCTGCTATGGCCTGGGAAAGCAGCAGAGGACAGTCCTAGTCCTTGGGACCTTGTACCCATGTGAGAGACCTGGAAGAAGCTCCTGGCTCCTGGTCGGCTCAGCTCTGGCCGTTGAGGCCACTGGGGAGTGAACCAGCAGATGGAAGACCTTCTGTCTCTCCCTCTGTCTGTAATTCTACCTCTCAAATAAATTAAATTGTTTAAAAAAAAAAAAAAAAAAAAGAGTTCTACAACAATGTAGAATACAATGGGTTGAGTTTCACTCACTGGCGGATTCTGGTTCTGTCCGTGAAGGCACTAGTGGCTCACTGTGAAGGAGCTTTGTCCTTTTCCAGCTCCAGCCCTATGTCCACAAGACTCCTGTTTCCAAAAGTCTAGGGCAGCTTCTAATTTCCCTTCCCTGGAAGAGCAGAACCAGACACCTCAAGTCTGAGCCACACTTCTGCTCAACAAGCAGAGAGCAAGGATACACTTCAGTAATGCTGCTCGAATGAGAGACTGTGGCAGTCCCAATCCTTCACCTCCCTGTATCTGTGTCCTCTGTCAGTGACATGGATTTCTTCCCGTACAGGCAGAGTACATTTTGCCACCCTATGGACCCCTAGTTGGTCAAGAGCACAAGGCAGAGTGTACTGATCTTCGCCTAGACCTCCAGGGCCCTCGGCAGCTCTGCTGTGCTTCTGGCTTTGCCGTGAGAATGAGCATCAGCCAGCCTGCTGGTTGCAGGAGAGTCAGGTCTCCTGGGCCCAGCCTGAAAAAGCCACAAGGAGCACGGCTGCCAGTTGAGTCAGAGACGTATACATGTCTATCAGAAGAAATGTTTATTGGTTTAAGCCACTGAATCTTGGGGTGGTTTCACACCAAAGCTAATACATCCTCCAACAGTCAAACTGCCAGTTCCTACAGTTATGTTAGTAACAGAGTGACATGCCCGGGCAGACTGAAAGGACACAGTGGAAAAGGAAAAATTAGTGCTGCCAAGTTCAAAATGCAGACACAATAGTAACACTCCTGTCCTATCTCAGCACCAAGTGATGCTTTTTGAGTAGATTCAAAAGGATAAAAACATAGTAGTAATAGCTTACTTATCATACGATCCAGATATCAGCGTCTGTGCTTCGAACGGATGAAACTGCAGAGTCTGGACCTAAAGCGAGGAAAGAGCAAAAGAGATCTATGCTCGCTCTGGGTAAAATTACCTGATTTGTAGCAAGAACTAACTGGCAGTATTTCTCTAAGTTCTTCTCTTTGAAATCTGGAACATAAATGGACATACATGTCCTGCCTACTCAAAGCAACCCATACTCCTGAAGGAAAGCTGGCACTTGGAGTGAGGGCCGGTGTTCGGGCACACAAGGTTAAGCTGCCGCCTTTGACACCAATGTCTCAAGTGCCAGTTCACCTCCCAGCTCAGCTCCCTGCTCATATGCCTAGGAAGGCAGCAGAGGGTGGTCCAAATACGTGGCTCTCTGCCACCTATGTCAGAGACCCGGATGTAATTCCAGGCTTTGGGCTTCAGCCTGGCCCAGCCCTGGCTGTTACAGCCATATGGGGAGTGAACCAGCAATGGAAGATCTGTTTCTGCTGCTTTCTAATTCAAATAAATTCTCTAATTTCAAATAAATAAATAAATAAAAGCCAGTGCTGCAACTCACTAGGCTAATCCTCCGCCTGCGGCGCTGGTACCCCAGGTTCTAGTCCCCGGTTGGGGTGCCTGATTCTGTCCCGGTTGCTCCTCTTCCAGGCCAGCTCTCTGCTGTGGCCTGGGAGTGCAGGAGAGGATGGCCCAGGTCCTTGGGCCCTGCACCCGCATGGGAGACCAGGAGGAAGCACCTGGCTCCTGGCTTTGGATTGGCGCAGCGTGCCGGCCGTAGCAGCCATTTGGGGGGTGAACCAACGGAAGGAAGACCTTTCTCTCTGTCTCTCTCTCTAACTCTGCCTGTCAAAAAATAAAAAATAAATAAATAAATTTAAAAAAAAAAGGAAAAAGCTGGCACTTACATAGCATTCCTCAAACAGGGTTTGGCAGGATATACTCTGGTGCCTCAAATGTTAAAAGATGTTCAGAAAAAAAAAGGGGAAGTGGCCCAAATTCCACAAACGCAGAAGCCCACCAGAGTGCATGAGCACATCCGATTCCTGAGGGGTCTGCAGTATGAATCCATTTGTTGCACTTGCAATCTTCAATATCCTTGTGGGGCTGATGCTGTGGCACAGGTTACGTCACCCCATCAACACCAGCATCCCATATGGGTGCTGGTTTGACTTCCAGCTGTTCCACTTCTGATCCAGCTCCTTGCTTATGTGCCTGGGAAGGCAGGGGGGGATGGCCTGAGTGCTTAGCGCCCTGCACTCAGGTGGGAGACCTGCACGGAGTTCCTGGGTTCGTTACAGCCATTTGAAGAGTTAATTTGTGGATGGAAGGATCTCACTCCCTTCCCCCAGCAACTATGCCTTTCAAATAAATCTTAAAAAAAAAAAAAAAATTCTTAAAAAACAGAGCACTGCGAAGATCCAATGAGACAACATGTGAAAAAGTGCTCTGTCAACCACAAACAGCCCTATATAAACACCTGGGATTACTCTGTTCCAGATTTCCTAGAATCTCTTTTATCTAATAAATCACACTTTGGGGTGGGTGTTTGGTGTAGCGGCTGAGACACTGCTTGAGATGTCTGCATCCTATAACAGAGAGCTTGGTTCAACTCCTCCTAGCTTCCTGCTAATATGTACCCTGGGGGCGGGGGTGTGCAGCAGGTGATGGCTCAAATATTTGGGTGTCCAGCACCCACATGGAGGACCCAGATTGAGTAATGGGGCTGCTGCCTTCAACCTGGCCCAGCCCTTGGCTGCTGTGGGCATTTGAGGGGTATACCACTGGATCGACGATCTGTCTCTGCTTTTCAAAAATACAAAATCTATGGCCGGCGCCGTGGTTCAACAGACTAATCCTCCGCCTGCAGCGCCAGCACACCGGGTTCTAGTCCCGGTCGGGGCGCCGGATTCTGTCCCAGTTGCTCCTCTTCCAGGCCAGCTCTCTGCTGCCCGGGAGTGCAGTGGAGGATGGCCCAAGTGCTTGGGCCCTGCACCTGCATGGGAGACTAGGAGAGGCACCTGGCTCCGGGCTCCGGATCAGCGCGGTGCGCTGGCTGCAGCGGCCATCGTGAGGTGAACCAACAAAAAAAAGGAAGACCTTTCTCTCTGTCTCTCTCACTGTCCACTCTGCCTGTAAAAAAAAAAAAAAAATACAAAATCTAAAAAACCACACACCTTGTCTGTGTGCACGGCCAGGCTAGCTGCTGGTTTTCCCACAGACATATCCCACAGAATCACCGTGTTGTCGGCTGAGGCACTTGCCATCACATTTCTGAAAAACAAGAACAAAATTAAGTAATCTTTTAAGAATTAAGAGCATTAAGTATAAGAAAGGGATTCCATTTACAATAGCATCAAAAAGAATACTTATGAATACATTTAACAAAAGAAATGCAAGACAAATATACTGAACATGAGAAAAGATGTAGCTATTAAAGCATACCTGCAGGAGTGGACAGCCACCCCATGTTCACGTGCTGGGAGACTTAGTACCAGCACAGAAACACCACATCTCAGACTGGGCTACACACTCATCTACAGATTCAGCCAATCCCTTCCAAAAGCAGCTTTTAAAATTTTCTATTTTACAGAAAATGACACGTTCATTCTGAAATTCATCAGACGTGCAAACCAGAGCAGCCAAAATAGTCTTGAAAAAGAAGAGCAAAGTCAGAAAGTTCCTGATTTCCAAACGTATCACACAGCTACAGCCAGCACAATGTGGTCCTGGCACAAGGTCACACATGCAGAGTCCAGAATAAAACCTGCACATTTACAGCCACTGATTTTTCACAAGGTGGCAAAAAAATCAAGTGTTCAGTGGGAGAAAGAAGTCATTTTAACAATTCAACAACAATTGAAAGTCCTCAGGCCAGAGAATAAAGTTGGACCTTACACACAAGTGTGTCCACACACAAGTTCAAAATGGTTACAGACCTAAAAGGAAGAGCTAATACAATAAAACTCTCAGAAGCAGGGAGGGTAAGAAGAAACTGGAATCCTTGTGCGCAGGGCCAATGGGAATGGAAAATAGTACGGTGGCTCCTCAAAAAAAATTAAGATTCACCCATAACACTTTTGGGTACCCACCCCAAATACTGGGTAGGAACTCTAACACTCGTACACTCCCGTTCACAACAGCCACAGGCGGAAGCCACCCAGGGGTCTGCTGACGGGCGGATGAAGACAACGTGACAGCTCCACACAGTGGACTGTCACCCAGACTCAGGAAACTCGGACACGTACTACCAAATGGGGGAACCTCAAAGACACCAGAGCCAGTGAAACAGGCCAGTCACAGAAGGACAACTGCTGACTGGTCCACTCACGGGAGGCAGAGGGACAGAAGCCCAGCACGGCTGCAGGACCTGGCAGGGGAAGGACGGCGAGTGTCTGGGTGCTCCAGAGCTTCCGCGGGGACGAGAAAGTTCTGGAGGCGGATGGTGGGGATGCTGCGCAACAATCCTGCACCAAAAGCCACCGACCCTTCGCTGGAGAGTGGTTAAAGTGACACGACTTGCTAGATAGATTTTACCATGACTTAAAGAAAAAAGATCCAAGACTATGTGGATGAGATGTGAAAACCAAATGAAGTGCTAAAAATGTTCTCTGGGAAGCATCACCACTCTCCTGCACCGTGGACACTGCAGGGCACTGGTCTCCAGGGGTGGCGGGCAGCGTACCTGTTGCCAAACAGGAAGACGCCTGCTGTGCTGAGCCGGCAGCAGGCGCTGCAGGAGAGGAAGGTCCGAGGGACACAGAGCCCGCCGCCCAAGAAGCAGAGACAGGTGCAGGCAAGAAGCCGAGTCACAATGGCTAGTCTTCCAGTCACTCAAATGTTTCTTACCTGATGAGCTTATTCCACGACAGATCAAGGACAGCATCGGTATGCCCTTCTGCTGAGGAACTCTGCAATAATTATTTTAATTACTTTTTGTATTCCAGTTCCTCCATCATGAAACTGGTCGTTCGCAAGATTCTTTAAATCTTAAGATTACTGTTTTGATTTTACCCTAAGTTGCTTGAAGAACTAAAGAAACTGTTTCCTGTTACTTTAGGTGCCCATTACAAAAATTCTGGATAGTGATAAAAGCATAACAGTTCTCAATTTAGGTGCTTTAATTCTACAACTATCAATATTGCCCCTCACCCCTCAAACAACCCCTAACATGAAGAGTTACAGGAAATTAATACATGCATATTTAGAATTCCACAGAGTCAGGGCTAAATAGCAATTTTCTTAAAAGATCAAAACCAGAACATTAGGATGAACACCTCCTGTCAGTGTGGGGGAGGATCACACCCTGAGAGTCGGGTACTGTGAGGAAGAGTCCGGTACTAATGCAGGCTTAATGCAGAGAACTAAGTTTTCCTGGCACTGGCTTTTTGAATGCAAAAGTCACAGTAACTTCATCACTGCCCAGCCTACTCTACCACGAGTGACGGGAAAAGTCAACACTCTCATTCTTCCCCACCCCCACCCTTCACCAGTGAACTTCTCTCTACCTAGCATTAGGGTTTAAATATCTTGTAACTCTTTTACCTTCTTCCCTTTCTTTTTCTTCTTTTTTGAAAGCTTACTTCCAAGTGTGAAGACTGGCTCTAAAGAGTCCACTATGTCAAGGTCCCAAACTTCAATAACAGGGGTCATGTTTCCCACCGCAATGTAATTTCCTGTAGGGGAAGGCAGGCACTCACGATTCCAGGAAGGCAGAAAAATGTCTTCTAATGTGATCCATTCCACTTGTATTAACTGAGTAAGGGCTTAAAGCAGTGCTTCTCTCTCTCTCTCTCTCTCTCTCTCTCTCTCTCTCTCTCACACACACACACACACACACACACTCATTCTGACTGTTGATAACACGCAGAGTGCATTTCAGGTAGTTCTGGGTGGGCCCCATCTGCAGGTCTAAAGGCTCACAGGCGGTGCCACTGCTGTGCTGCTGGTCCTTGAACCACAATAAACGCTACAACTCCGGGCCCAGTGCCCCCACTTCCTCCTTCCCAGGCTGTTCTGAGGATAAGGACCAGGTTACATCATGCATGTGAACAAACTTTAAGATGTAAGATGTCAACTTTACCAGTGATCATTACATAGTGACCGAGGCAACTAACTGTGCAGATGCGTCTCGGTGGACTAACCTAATTGTAAACAAGCTTCTTTGTTTCAGTTTACCTGATGTTTCTGGAACAGGTTATACCACCAAACTCTAGCTGGTAGCATGAGACACAGCATCCCATTCCATACTGGGTTTCTATAGTTCTGTAGCCCACAAGGCTTTCAAGACCTGGCCTTCAGCCCACAGTGGAGCAGCTACCTCCTGGGCTAATCTCAAATCTGGAAACATGGACCCAAACAGCAAACTGATACAGTGTTAAGAACTATGTAACACCATAAAATAATACTAACTTCAAATCAGCAACAACTCTGTAAGCACACAGAGAACACGTCATTTATGTAGCCAGGAAAAATCAGAGGACTAAGGATCCTACCTGTAGAATCATCTGGACTTGGATCAAAATTCAGCCACTCTACACTCAGAGGATATGCAGACAACAGGATATCATGGTGCACGTAAAAAGAGTCTTCTTCCTGATTGTAAACTGAAAAAGATTGGGAAAAGAGATTCACTGCATCAGAGGAAGAGCCGCTGGGAATCACTCAGCACACAGAGCACACTCTCCTCCGCAACAGTGGGAGTCACCGTGCTTACAGTGCGACGCACTCACGACATTCAAAGGGGACTCCAGTCATCACTGCTAGGGAAAAATTCTGCACGTCTAACAAAGTCTCAACATCTGGCAGGTGTCAGAGAATACTGACAGAGTGCATAGCACGCTTGCCAGGTGAAGGGGCTTCCAGCTCATTATGGAAAACACACACTCAGAAAGTGTCCACAGGAGTACTTACCAATTTCTATTTTATTTTCTAAAGGGCCAGCTGATTATAAGCTTAAAAGAATAAACAGAAACAGCACTGCTTGTATCCAGAACTCTACATACTTCTGCACCCACATGGGTGACCCAGAAGCTCCTGGCTCCAGCTGTTGCAGTCATCTGGGGAGTGAACCAGCAGATGGAAGATCCCTCTCTCTGTCTTTCCCTCTCTCTGTAACTCTGCCTCTCCAATAAATAAAAATTTTTTTAAAGATACAGTGAAATACTGTATCTTTAAATAGTCATGCTTTTTATTAAGAAAGAACAAATCACAAATAAGTTCACTGTTCTTTTCTGAAATCTCTCAGCCCTCTGCTTCTGGGATACCCCTGTGATCAGCAGATTCTGTGTAACTTCCTATCACACCATTCTACGAGAATGCACGCTCATGGAGAAGGTGGTCCTGAGAAAAGCCACCAAAAACTGGCGCTGATCTGCTGAAGCATCTTCTGTTAGCCACGTCAGTGCTATGCTCTGACCAGCTTCAGCATACAATCTGGGACCTATTCTTGAACACAGATATGCTGGGGCAATCTGGAGATTCCCCCAAAGCCCAAATAATAAAGTACACCTATCAAGACCGAATGCGGCAGGCAAGTATTAAAATACAATTGTTTTCCCAACATCTCTCTGATCCTGAGTTCAAAGGAAAAATTATAAAAAATTCTCAGAATGTGTAAAAATCAATAACAAAAAAATTGAATTTCAATTTTCAAATACCAGAATAGGTCTTAAAAAGAAAACTAAGGGCCAGTGTTTTTTGGCTGCTCCACTTCCAAGCCAGCTCCCTGCTAATGCACCTGGGAAAGCAGGTCCCTGTACCGATGTGGAACACCAGGATGGAGTCCCAAGCTCCTGGCTTTGGCCCAGACCAGCTCCAGCCATTTGCAGCTGTTTGGGGAGTGAACCAGCATTGGAAAATCACTTTCTCTGTCTCTTCCTCTCTGTCACTCTGCCTTTCAATTACATGCATCCTAAAGAATATGATTCAGGGGGCTGACGCTGTGGTATAGCCGCCACCTGCAGTGCCAGCATCCCATATGGGCGCCGGTTCGAGTCTCAGCTGCTCCACTTCCGATCCAGCTCTCTGCTGTGGCCTAGAAAAGTAGAAGATGGTCCCAGTCCTTGGGCCCCTGCACCTGTGTGGGAGACCTGGAAGAAGCTCCTGGTTTCGGATCGGTGCAGCTCCGGCCGTTGCGGCCAATTGGGAAGTGAACCAGCAGATGGACAACCTGTCTCTCTTTCTGCCTCTCCTTCTCTCTCTGTGTAACTCAGCCTTTCAAATAAATAAATAAATCTTAAAAAAAAAAAAAAAATTGATTCAGGGGCCGGAGTTGTGGCATAGTAGGTTAAGCTGCCACCTTCAGCACCAACATTCCATATAGACACCATTTTGAGTCCTGGCTGTTCCTCTTCCGATCCAGCTCTCTGCTGATACACCTGCGAAAGCAGCAGAGAATGGAAGTACTTGGGCCCCTGCACCCATGTGGGAGACCCGGATGAAGCTCCCACCTTCAGCCCAGCCCAGCTCTGGACGTTTTGGCCATTTGGGGAGTGAAGCAGCGGATGGAAGCCTTCTTTTCTCTGTCTCTCCTTCTCTAATCCTTTCAAATAAATAAAATAATTTTTAAAATATGATTTAAAAATCCAAGTGATCACCTGCTTCAGGTTATTGCAAAGTGTTTACTTCTTGCTTTGGCACCAACGTTCCCTGAAATGGGAAAGGTACTGCTATGGTTTAGTACGATTTGCCTACCCCCAACTCATGTGGGAGCTTACTCAGCACAACTCATGTTGGTGGTGTTCAGAGGGTGGAGACTTAATCCCACTATGGTGTTTAGAGGCAGGGCCTTTGAGAAGTGATTAGTTCCATAGGATGGAGCCCACGACTGAGTCTCAGTGCTATTACAAGAGAGGGGAGAGACCACAGACAGTCCACAATGCACGCCGTCTTTTGCCACGTGGTGCTCTGTGCCACCTGGAAATCCCGCCAGCAAGGAGGCCATCACTAGATGAGGCCCGTAAGACCTTATACCTCCAGAACTGTGAGCCAAAAATAACTCTTTTTTTTTGACAGGCAGAGTGGATAGTGAGAGAGAGAGACAGAGAGAAAGGTCTTCCTTTTGCCGGGAGGGTGAACCAACGGCCGCCGCGGCCGGTACACTGTGGCCGGCACACCACGCTGATCCGAAGGCAGGAGCCAGGTACTTCTCCTGGTCTCCCATGTGGGTGCAGGGCCCAAGCACTTGGGCCATCCTCCACTGCACTTCCGGGCCATAGCAGAGAGTCGGCCTGGAAGAGGAGCAACCGGGACAGAATCCGGGCCCCGACCGGGACTAGAACCCGGTGTGCCGGCGCCGCAAGGTGGAGGATTAGCCTACTGAACCATGGCGCGAGCCAAAAATAACTCTCTTTTTATACAGCTGCCTGCCTCAAGCATTTCATTACAGTATACAATGTATACAATCTTAACCAATACAATGGTTAAGATGTTTTAACTCCAGAAGAGACCTATGGTTCTGTGTGCAGAATTACTATGAAGAAAATACAATGAACTGCTAAGGGGAAACCTCTGGGATAACTGAGAGAAAGCTGTGTATCCAGCACAGTCTCAACCACAGGAAGGAAAAGCGGCGACACACACAAAGCCAGGGCAGCAAGTTAGCACCTCAGGGCGATTGGATTATGGGATCATGCATTTTCCTTGGGCCCAGCACTGTGGCCCAGCTGGTTAGTTCCAACTGCTGCTTCCAATCCAGCACTACACTCATGTGCCTGGGAAAGCAGCTAAAGATGGCCCAAGTACCTGGGCCTCTGCCACCTACCTGGGAGACCCGGATGGAGTTCCAGGCCCCTGGCTTTGGTCTGGCCCAGCCCAGACTGTTGCAGGCCATTTAGGGAGTGAACCAGAGGGTGGAAGCTCTCATTTCTTCTAACTCTACTGTGTTGTTTTTTTTTTTTTTTTAAATTTATGTGTTTATTTGAAAGGCAGAGTCCCACAGAGGCAGAGAGGTAGAAAGAGAGAGAGAGAGAGAGAGAGAGAGAGAGAGATCTCCTCCATCTGCTCGTTCACTTCCTAAATGGCTGCATCAGCCAGAGCTGGTTGGATCCAAAGTCAGAAACCAGAAGCCAGGGGCTTCTTCCATGTAGGTGCAGGGGTCCAAGGACTTGAGCCATCCTTCGCAGCCTTCCCAGGCCATAGAGAGAGCTGGATTGGAAGTGGAGCAGCTGGGACTTGAACCAGCACACATAAGGGATGCTGGCACTGCAGGTGGCAGCTTTATCTGCTACACCACTGTGCCAGCTCCTGTAATTCTACCCTTTCAAATAAATAAATATAGCTGTAAAATTTTTTTCTTGTATTTTTATATGTACTTTTCATTCTAGGTTTGCTACAGTGGGGGTAAAGGTAAAAACTGCTAAGTATATTTAAATAAAAGATTAAAAACCCCTATTGGGGGGCCAGCACTTAGGCACAGGCGGTTAAAGCCCAGGCCTGAAGCACCGGCTTCCTCTATGGGTGCTGGTTCGAGGCCCGCTGTTCCACTTCCAATGCAGCTTTCTGCTATGGCCTGGGAAGGCAGTGGAAGATGGCCCAAGTCCTTGGGCCCCTGCACCCACGTGGGAGAACCAGAGGAAGCTCCTGGCTCCTGGCTTCAGATTGCTCAGCTTCAGTCATTGCGGCCATTTGGGGTTGAACCAACAGACGGAAGACTTTTCTCTCTGTTTCTACCTCTCTCTGTAACTTGTCTTTGTTTTTTTTTTTTTTTTTTTTTTTTTTTTTTTTTTTTTTTAAGATTTTATTTATTTATTTGAGAGGTAGAGTTACAGTGAGAGGAAGAGACAGAGAGAAAGGTCTTCCTTCCGTTGTTTCAGTCCCCAAATGGCTGCAACGGCCAGAGCTGCACCGATCCGAAGCCAGAAGCTTCTTCCTGGTCTCTACACAGGTGCAGGGGCCCAAGGACTTGGGCCATCTTCTACTTTCCCAGGCCATAGCAGAGAGCTGGATTGGAAGAGGAACAGCCGGGACTAGAACTGGCGCTCATATGGGATGCCGGTGCCACAGGTGGAGGATTAACCTACTGCGCCACAGCACCGACCCCCAACTCTGTCTTTCAAATAAATACAAAATAAATCTTAAAATAAATAAATAAAAAACCTCCATTAAAATTTTCCAGGGACAAAAGTCAGATTCCAAAGTGAAATGTCAGGCTGCACATGCTGAGAACACCACCCAGAAAATTGGCAGGCTGTGTAGACCACATAGCCAACTTCAATGCGGCACAGCAGGATACAGCACATAGATCCCTAACTGCTACTATTGTCATTTCACTGTCGCTCAGAAAAGCTTTTCATGAGGGATTCCTCTCACTTACCATGCACCTCCAAATTGCACTGCTCCTGTTCAGCTCGACCACAAACTATGAGATTGTCAGTGGGTTTAATCAAGAAATCTTCACGTTCATATTGTTCCTAGGTGGAGAGAAAAACAGTCATTGGCTAGAGGCAGATACCCTGTAAGCTTTTCAAACACTTACAAACAGAATTAGAAAAAGGATGTAAATATTTACAGTATCTTTCAGAGTAACATACGGATCTTGGTCATTACTCCCGTAGACTGTCAGCCCCAGCAGCGACTCCCCAAGCGTCTCAGCATCTGTAATAAGAATTGTAAAGTGACACGAGTGAAATGGGCACCTTGACAAAAACATGTTTTCTAAGACATCATCTCTGGACTCCGACCGTCTACTTTGTAACTGATCCTGGGCCACCCGTAGTGGTCAAAGGACACGTGCACAGTGAGAGGGAATTTAGACGCTGTTCATGTTCGACCTTTGGGGTGCATTTCTCATAGTCTCGGAACTCACAATCTTCCAGGGAACAAAGTAAGCCCTTTCAGAAAATACCCGAACTCTGCTCAGAGCCCGCTCTTGGCTCCTTGCACTCAACGTGCTAGAGGGGAACCTTGAGGATACGGAAGTAAGACGGCCCTGAAACACTGAACCAACGCAGAGTAAAGGGCGGCTGAAGAAAGAACACCGAGAGAATGAATTTCAGTTAAGCAGGCTGCTCTCCTGTACGTGTTCTCAGAACTGCTGATGCGCCTTATGGACCTGAAAGAAGGAATACTGTATGCTTTTCCCCAAAAATGGAATTTTTCTTTTATGGTACATGTACAAGGGTAACACAGAATAGAGCCAGAGTTAACACAAAACGAAAGGCACACTGAGCTGTTCAGGAAAACAGGTAAGGAAGCAGGATGCACGGGTCCTGCGAATCTGACAGGCACGGGAGACGGGAACTCCCACCACAGCAGGAAGAGCTGATGCTGGGACGCCTCTCTGCAGGCTGGGCTGCTCCCAGAACCCCGGCCAAACACAGCTCTGAGTGCCATGGGAAAAGCCCCCCTCTGCAGTCTGTGTCTAGTGAGGCACATGGAAAAGAAAGAAGGCTTGGGAGAGGCAGGGTGTTCAAACCTCAGCATCACCTCTCACCAGCTGGGGGAGTACTGCAGTGACCCCCTCTCAGAACTGCAGCTAAGGGAAAACCCAGTCAGCAGCAGTGCACAGGACGCACGGCCAGAGGACTGAGTGGGGAGAGAAATGGACACCAGGGGGAAAAGTGGGTGAGTGACACGGAAGGCAGTGTGAATGGAGTGAGCGAGTCAGGGCTACTTCACACTGGAGGACAAGCGGTGTGCCCTAGTAACGAGGGGTACGGGCTCTGGAAGAAAGCTCAGCAGCGCGGCCTCTGCACGCTCTCTCGTTTCCTCCTCCTCAGTCCAGGCCCTCCCTGCCTCTGGCCCAACTGAAGTCTCCCACTCCTCCAGGAAGACAGTCAGATACAACCCATTCGAGACATCCAGGCCAAGTCTGCAAGTTTTCATGCTAACTCCTTCCCTCAACTGCATCTCCCCTAGAGCAGACTCCCTCATTCTCCTTACCTGCCCCTTATTTACTGATTCTCCAGTGCCCAGCACTGCCCAGGTCTCCACGACCACCTCCAAACGCTCCAGCAACTGCAAGGGCTCCGCATCCCCCACAGCACTCCCCACAGCCCACACAGGCCTTGCTTTTAAAAAGCTTCATTACGTGAATAGAAGGGGAGAGGGAGCGGGAGAGGGGAGGGTTGCGGGTGGGAGGGAAGTTATGGGGGGAAAAAGCCATTGTAATCCATAAGCTGTACTTTGGAAATTTATATTCATTAAATAAAAGTTAAAAAAAAAAGCTTCATTAGGGAAATTTTCAAACATAAACAAAGGAGAGTGAGTACAACGAAGCCTCAATCACCAAGGCTTGGCAATATTTTCTTAATATTTTTGTCTAACCTCCTTCCCCGCCATCTTTGGGGTTTTATAAAGACGTCTGAGCACATTATTTTACGCAACACTTCCATATGCACCTCTGACAGAAAAGGACATTTTTCATGCCTGCTTACAACTACTTTATGTCCTATTTTAAATGTTATTTTGTCATCTCCAGAAAGTCTAGCACCAGGCCAGATATTTAATAAAACTGGTAATTTCAGAATCAGGCCACTGAATTCTTGTGCAAATCCAGGCTCTTAGGAAAAGCAACAGAATGTCCTTGGTTGTCTCAAAGGCGTGCTCGGAAGGCAGCTGTGCCCTCCCACCCCTGGGCAGAGGATCCCTCAGAGACAGATCAGACCTCACAAAACTTCAGCACATCAAAATAAAGGGTCACATTTAGTAATACACTGGTGTGGATTTTCTGTGGTATTTTATATATTCTCCATTCCATCATGGCAGCATAATTCTATCTACCACCATTTGTTAACTAGAAATCCTTCAACATCTCCTTCCCTTGTACAATGCGATGGCTGTGAATTTGCTTTGATTTTGAGAACATTTGTATTAGTAGTTAATCTTTTTAAAAGATGTATTTATTTATTTCAAAGAGCTACAGAGAGAGAGAGAGAGAGAGAGAGAGAGAGAGAGATTGATTGATCTTCCACCCACTGGTTCACTTCCCAGAGGGCCACAATGGCCAGTGCTGCGCCAAGCCAAGCCATGAACCAGGAGCTTCTTCCAGGTCTCCCATGTGGTTAGCAGGGGCCCAAGCCTTGGGCCATCTTCCACTGCTTCTCCCTTTATGATGTTAGCAGGGAGCTGCATCAGAAGTGGAGCAGCTGGGACAGGAACCAGCGTCCTTATGGGATGCCGGCATTGCAGGTGGCAGCTTAACCCTCTAAGCCACAGCTCTGGCCCCAAGAGTTAATTTTTTTCTTTTTCTTTTTTAAGATTTATTCAAAAGGCAGAGTTTTAAAGAGAGAAAAAAAAGAGCGAAAGAAAGAGATTTTCCATCTGCTGGTTCACTCCCCAGATGGCTACAACAGCCAGGGCTAGGAAAGGCCAAAGCCAGGAGCTCCATCCAAGTACTGATTGTGTGTGGCAGGGACCCGAGTACTCAGGCAATTTTCTGCTGTTCTCCCGGCCCATTAGCAGGGAGCTGGGTCAGCAGCAGAGCAGCAGTCTGGTGTTCCAACACGGGATGCTAGTGTCACAAACAGTGGCTTAACCTGCTGTCCACGACACCCCCTCAGGAGCTAATTTTTTAAGTGTTAGATCATCTGTTTTTCTAACTGTATAACTTGAGAATTGCTGATTCTAGCTGTCAGAGTCCTACCAGGCTCCACTGACACAAACTAACTGGGTTTTTTAAGTTAAACCACTAACTTACTTAACCTGCTCAGTGTGCCAAAGATAAAAGGCTATTTCCTAGATCCTCCCATCTGGCTGAGCGCGGCCTGCAGTCGTGTACACCGGAGGACAACGAGGTAAGCTCGTCCAGCTACACAGTCACCGCCTGGTATCCATGGGGACTGGTTCCAGGACCCTTGCTGGACACCAAAATCTGAGGGTGCTCAAGCTCCCGTCACAAGTCACTTAACGACAGGGTTCCTCTCTGAGAAATGCGTTGTTAGGAGGTTCTGCCACTGTGTGAACATCAGAATGTAATTACACACACTGAAATGGGTATGGTGGTACGGTGCAATACAGTCTTTTTGACAGACTTATTTACTCAAAAGGTAGAGTTATAGAAAGAGAAAGATCTTCTATCACTGGTTCACTGACCAAATGGCTGCAAGAGCCAGGGCTGGGTCAGGCTGAAGCCAGGAGTGTGGATCACCCACTGCACCACCACGATGCGGCCCCAGCAGTGTAATCTTATGGGATCGCCACTGTATCCACAGTCTGCTGGTGACCAAAATGTCCCTGGGTGCTTTATGACTGTATAAAATGGCTTGGCATCTGCGTATAATCTGTGCACATCTTCCTGCGTATCTCACCTCATCTCTCGATTACTTACAATACCTAATGTAAATTGTTGTTGTATTTATTATTTAGGAATAAGGACAAGAAAAGAGTCTATATACCTTCAGAAGCGGTGCAGCCACTTTAGGCCTAAGCACATCTGTGACCCACAGCTGGCTGGAGCCACCGGTGAGGAGTTAAGGAGGAGGAGGGCTGACTGGCTTTACCGTCCTGTCCTCAAACAAGCAATGCACTCTGCTCATGTTTCTCACCCACTTCGTTTCCGCAAGGCTTGCTACATGAACTTACAGTGAGCCTCGCGCTCAGTCACCTCCTTCTCTTCCCACCTGTGCTTCTCTTTCTAATGTCTCAAAATGCACATACTCTGAGAAATGTGGATGCAGCTGAGGCAAGGGTGTTTAGACACAAGTTTAAGTACGCCATAATGGTGTCCCAACAGGCTCAAGTGAATTACACATTATTATATGATACTATTTGTTTTTTTTAGATAAGTGGGTTAGAGCTTATCTTCTAAATTCATTTAGGAAACAGGAACCAGATTCTTAGACTGACACCAGGGACTGCAAAATCTCCGAGGAAGGCTTTGGGGCACCACGGGCTCGATCCAATGCACCGAGCTCTAACCTGGGTCATCCTCGTCATATTTATCCAAGTCGTACTCGGCCAGCTCATCATCGTCCAGCGCCCTGTCGTCCTCTGGGTCACCATCCTCCAGGGGCTCCCTCGGGCGCGCCTGCGTGCGTGCACTCTGCACACCATCGTCTGAAGGGCTGCCTGCCTCCTCTTCCTCACTGGCACCTTCTTCTCTAGGAAAATGATACCAAGAAGTTAGAGAGAGATGGGCCAAGTGACCCCTTCCGCGAACAGGTGCACGCGGGCATCACGACTGAGACACCCTTCAGCCGGACTCACTGCGGACTGCGACATTCCCGTACTCACTGTAACTTTTCCTTCGCTTCAGCAATGAGACGTTTCACTTCTTCTTTACTCAGCTCTACCTGTAAGAGAACACACACTGCATCACAACATATTTGAGGAAATCATCAAAAGTCTTTAAATTGAAAAAAAAAAAAACAACTTTACAACAAATGTAAAATACTACTTCAGAAAAGCCCACTCAAAAGCAAGGGCAGGAGTCTGGTGTGGTTTGAAGACACCCACGTCCCAGGTCACGGCACCTGGGGTTGATCCTGGCTCCACTTCTGATCCTGGCTTCCTGCTACTGCACACCCTGGGAGGTGGCAGGTGATGGCTCACGTACTTGGGGTGCTGTCATCCAGGCTCCTGACCCCACCCAGCTGTGGTGGGCATCAGGGGAGTCAAATAGCAGGTGGGGTTGGGTGCTGTGGATGATCAGGTTAAGCCATCTGGGGCACTTCCAATCCAGCTCCCCGATGCACCTGGGAGACAGCAGATGATGGCCCCAATACTAGATTTCTGCCACTGAGGTGGGAATCCCGGATCCTGGCTTTAGCCTGGCCTAGCCTTGGCTGCTAAAGGTAATCAGGGAGTGAACCAGCAGATGAAGATCAATTCTGTCACTTTGCTTTTCAAATCATCCATCCATCCATCCATCCATCCATCCTTAAGGGGAAGAGAGAACCAGATGGAAGATCTGTTTCCATCTCTACCTTCTGAATAAAATAAAAATAAAAAGTTCAAAAAATAGACAAGAAGCAAACATGAACTCAGACTTTTTAAATTTAACATCAATGGAGTTCTACACTTCTGAAAATTAAGATTCCTTCACACCTGTTTAAAAACCAAGCTCACTGTACTCTCTACATCTTAATAATAATAATAAAAAAAGACTGATTTTTGTACTCGGCTCATCTGGTCTTCTCCCAACTATCCCTGACTGCCCCTAGGGCCCCCCTCCCTCCCTTCCCCGTAGCCATCCCTGCACTGTCCCCTGTTCTCTCCCCTGTTCTCACTGCCTCGTATGCACTCAGCAGGCTCACCTCTGTGCAAAGCTCACTGAAATTATCACCTCTGAGATGCTTATTCCAAACTTATACTCCATTTCCATTTTTCCAACAGCCTGTAAGACTTCCCACGTGGACATTTTTTGTCCTATGTAATTCAATACTGAAATGACTCTCCTTACTTCAAAAACACTCCCTTCAGCACCTTTAAAACACCAGCACTACGCTGCCAATCCCGTGCAGACATAAACGGACTCGTCACTCTACAGCTGAGCACACAGTTCAGTTCTGGGTCTGCGGACACAATGCCTCAGACCCAGAAAATCCTCTTGAGAAAGACATTCCGCCGTGGGATAAATTACGAGTTAGTCCTCAATTTTCAGTAAAAGAGACTTTGTCTAACTTCTAAATTTTCCTTCCTATGGATTTCACAGAATAAACGGAACCCCTTGTCCTGTAAACTTGTCCAACAATGGTTTCCAAACTGGTCTGCACATAACAACCACCTGGGCAGCTCTTAACAACTTCAGGCTACCCTCGACCAAGTAAATCACAATACCTTTGCCGGGGCACAGCCATCGGTATTATTTTTAAGCTTCCCAGGTGTTTTCCATGTGCAGACTTCCCTGGAATCACTCTCCCAGTTTTGAAAGGTGTGTGTGTGTGTCCCTTTGTGGTTTGCTACAGGCTTTAAAAAGTTTATCCACTTTTATTTATACCTCTCTATTTTTTGAAAGCTTTATTTATTTGAAAGGCAAGGTGAGGGTGACAGGGTGAGAGAGAGACACACACACACAGATTGATTCTCTATCTGGTTCACTCTCCAAATGACTGCAACAGCAAGAGCTGGGCCAGGGCGAAGCCAGGGCCCTGGAACTGTGTCTGGCTCGCCCATGTGGGTGCCGGGGCCCAAGCTCTCCCAAGCGCCTTAGCAGGAAGCTGGGTGGGAAGAGGAGCGCCACGGACTCCAAGGGTTGGGCAGCCAGCTTGAGCTGCTGCGCCACAGCCGTCTCCCTCTTCAGTAACGTTCCTCCTTCAACAATGGCTAACGGGCTAGTTTTCTGTCCCTCTTCGCTAAGCACGGAGCGCCTACTGTAAGCCAAGCGCTGGAGAAACGGTGAGCGAAACAGCCTGGGGGCCGGCTGGGGGGCGGGATTTACCCCTTGGCAGCCTGCTCCGACCCCTTTTCCGCCCGCACAGCGCCCCCACTCCCACCACCTTCCCCAGCCCTGCCGGGCCGGCTGGCCCGGTCACTTCCTTCCCGCACTTATCCCCTCGGACCCCCCCCCCCCCACAGGTCAACCCCATAAAGGCGGAACTCTCTCTGCCTCGTTCTCGCCCACCCCGGGGTCCCTGACCAACGCCTGGCCCGCAGCCGGCAGCTAGAATCCGCTGATCAATGCCCGAGGCCCCCTCCCCTCTGCGACAGGCTCAGTCCTCCAGTCCCGGGTGCTCTTCCTCCGCGGGGCGGCGCGTGTACCGCTCACCTCGGCTGCCTTCCTCGTCTCCAGGGATTACTGCTGGAGAAGCCTAACTCGACTCCCGACCCCGCGGCCGCCACCACCACCGCTTCCAGCCCCGCTCCTCCGGGCGCCGAGCGAGGAGGCTCGGGGGAGGTGGGGCCGCCACACCTGCGCTCCCCTCCCACTCACGCCTAAAACCGCGCCGGGGAGAGGGCGCCGCTGCTCTGTCAAGCAGCCCCCGCGCCTGCGGACGTCGGGGCAGGGGCTCGGGGGCGGCGGGCCCATCAGGCCTAAGCCGGCCTCAACGAAGCGGGCCAAGGCCGAAGCTCCGGGTCGAGGTTCCCCGGGCGGGGCTCAGCCGGCAGGGATGTCTCCCAGCGGTCGGGCCTCACCTTGTCCGGCGTCTCTTTGGCCACGCCGCAGCGGACCCAGGCCACACACGTCACCTGGCGGCTGCGGTTCATGGTCTTCAGCGCAGGGACGTCTCAAGTTAAAGACCCCGCGACAGTACGAGGGACCACGGCTCACAAGGCTGCCAGCACACTGCGGGGCTCCTCGAGAGACCGTCGCTGGGGCAGAGCGCAGGCGCGGCGCCAGCCCCGCCCCCGTCGGCGCGCGCTTCGACGTCATCGAGAGGCGCCGGACCGGAAAGCAGCAGGGCGTGGAATCCACGTGGGGGTTCCATGCTGTGTGGGGTGGCATGAAGCGGATTTTCAGAATATGTGGGGGTCAGTGTGAGGCAGAGTTCCACTAATCTTTATTTTGCTTGAAATTCCAGACTCCAAGCTGACAAATGGTAGGGGTGTGTGTGTGTGGTCTAAAGCTTTCTCCAAAATGAGCTTGTCGATTCAAGGACATTCCATTACACTTTCATATCATTGACTGTTACTGACCCACCTCAGTATATACGGTGGTGGTGGTTAGGGTGCAGGCACCGTTTACAGTGCCTTAATATATTACCTTCGTTACTTCCTAATTCTGTGTGGGAGGTTTTATTTCCCTTTAACACGCGGAGACACGTTCGTGGATTTCCCTGAAGCCGCATGGCCAGTAAGTGGTGTTAAAGTAACACCTTGGGGCTGGCGCCGTGTCTCACTAGCTTAATCCTCCACCTGTGGCGCCGGTTCTAGTCCCGGTTGCTATTCCAGTCCAGCTGTTTGCTGTGGCCCGGGAGGGCAGTGGAGGATGGCCCAAGTGCTTGGGCCCTGCACCCGCGTGGGAGACCAGGAGGAAGTACCCGGCTCCTGGCTTCGGATTGGCGCAGCTGCGGCTGTAGCGGCCATTTGGGGAGTGAACCAATGGAAGAAAGACCTGTCTGTAATTCTACCTGTCAAATAAATAACACCTTGACAGTAGGGACTCCATTCTGGGAAGGCACCCCTCCTCCCCCCCACACACCGTGAGACTCTGGTCTGAAACCATGATCTAAAAAAGTCCGACGATAGCAGTCCACTACATCACACTTGGCAGATCATAAATTGGAAACCCCCTATCATGATCGCTCAAACTTTGAAGTGGATAGGCTACACCTGGGTTAAGGATAAAAATGTAATTTGTCTATGTCCTACATATGATTAAAATCAATACCTGGATTAATGTCAAGATTATAATTGAAATTGTTAAGATTGTAACTGGTATTGTCAAGATAATTGATACTAGTTTCGCATAGGTTTTAGGTCAGCTTGACCCCAGTAACCATGTATTCCCTCCCGATTTTGCGGTTTTTGCCTTTATAAACCCTGTTGGTTTGGGCTTCAGGGCTGAGAGTTCTTTAGGGCATGGGCCCACCCTCCACCGTCAATGTGTGGTGCTCCTTTGCATTCGCTCAGGTACAACAGTGTAGCTAGGATACAGATCATACGATGTGATTCCAGATCCCTGGCTGCTGCCAGTGTGGTGCTTGTCCGCTAGGGTTAAAGTCACCTGTTAGAAAGTGTCAGTGGCTGGAAGGCTTCAGAATAGAAAAAATTTTTAAAAGATTTATTTATTTGAAAGGTAGAGTTAAGAGAGACGCAGAGGCAGAGAGAGAAGTCTTCTATCTGCTGGTTCGCTCCCCAAATGGGCCACAATGGCTGGAGCTGAGCCCATCTGAAGACATGGGCCAGAAGCTTCTTCTGGGTCTCCCATGCAGGTGCAGGGGCCCAAGCACTTGGGCCATCTTCCAGTGCTTTCCCAGGCCATTAGCAGCGAGCTGGGTCAGAAGCAGGGCATCTGGGACTAGAACAGGTGCCCATATGGGATGTTGGCAGTGCAGGTGCCAGCCCCCAGAATAGAAAATTTTAAACTAGAAAGATCTGGGTTTTGATTGCCTCCTTGGTTGTATGACCCTGTCTGGGTCACCTGCCTTCTGATATTCAGGTGTACCCTGCCTCTGAGACAGGCAAACAAAAATACCAGGAGAATAGCTCTGGGGCAAGGATCTTTGAAAAATAGATGGCAACAACAAAATTGTCCTTATGTGATTTTTTTTTTTGACAGGCAGAGTGGACAGTGAGAAAGAGAGAGAGAGAGAGAGAAAGGTCTTCCTTTGCCATTGGTTCACCCTCCAAAGGCCGCCGCGGCCAGCGCGCTGCGGCTGACGCACCGCGCTGATCCGAAGGCGGGAGCCAGGTGCTTCTCCTGGTCTCCCATGGGGTGCAGGGCCCAAGCACTTGGGCCATCCTCCACTGCACTCCCTGGCCACAGCAGAGAGCTGGCCTGGAAGAGGGGCAACCAGGACAGAATCCGGCGCCCCGACTGGGACTAGAACCCGGTGTGCCAGCGCCGCAAGGCGGAGGATTAGCCTAGTGAGCTGCAGCACCGGCGTCATGATGGTTTTAACCAAGAGTATGACAGAGGTGACCCTTCCAAGGTTAGGTCACCAGTGGGACGCAGGTTGGCAGAGTGGAGCCCTGAGCCACCACGTGAAGTCTGTGCTGAGGCCGTCGTGCTGAGGAAGCTAAACCACAGGGAGAGGACACATGTGGGTGCGCCGGTAGACACCTGCAGCTTTGAGTTCACCCAGACGAGAAGATGAGAGTGCCTTCAGGTGACTCCAGCTCCCAGCCATTGTCTTGTCCCCAGCTTCCAAGGTTTCCCAGCCGAGACCCAGGCGTGGTGAGGGGACACAAGCCATCCCCAGCAAGCACCACCCAGTCTTGACTGACACAGTCTGCAAGGTCAATAAAAGGGCCGTTTCAGCCATGTTTTCACCCTTACATATTGTAGTTTTATGGCATATCACACATAGCAAAGTTTACTATTCAACCGGTTTTTAAACAAGATTTATTTTTTATTTATTTGAAAGGCAGAGTTACAGAGACTGAGAAGGAGATCTTATATCCACTGCTTCACTTCTCAAATGTCTGCAACAGCCAGGGCTGGGCCAGGCCAAAGCCGGGAGCCAGGGTCTTCATCCAGGTCTCCCATGTGGGTACAGGGGCCTAAGCACCTGGGCCATCTGCTGCTGCTTTCCCAGGCCATTGGCAGGGAGCTGGATTGGAAGTGGAACAGCTGGGACATGAACCAGCACCCACATGGGATGCCAACATTGCAGATAGTGGCTTAACCCATTATACCACAATGGTGGCCCCTATGTTTTTAACCTTACACACTATATTATTATGGTATCACATGTAACATAAAGTTTACCATTTCAGCCATTTTTAGGTATGCAGATTAATGGCCTTCAGCACCAAGTCACTAAGCTTTGAGGCCATTTTTCACACGTAGCAGCAATGAACAGGTGGGAATCTGTGCTGTAACTAGAACAGTGCATATGAGCTGATTTATTAACACCTGGCTAGGCTTTGTCAGGTGGGCTCCCCCGATGTCTGAGTACCTAACTCTGGGTCTGTTCTCCCTGGAGACCCCCCACCAATGAGCTGGTCCCTGTCTGTCTGGGTGCTGCCCCCAGCACAGTGCCTCATGCAGAGTGAGCACTTGATACATATCTGTTAAGCCAATGAATAAATTAAAGAATTGAAGGTGGGCCAGGACTCCAGTTATTTTGGGCCTGCTAAACTTACCCTCTTTGCTGGGCCTATTTCTGACATTCTGCCACTTCAGCCCAAGCTGTGAGTTCTCTTTTTAAATGAAAATCCCACTGCAGCGGGCATTATTAGTTCCTTCTAACAAGAATAGGAAGAGATTGAGCTTAGGTAGGTCTGTTCCTAAAGCTGATTCTTGGGAACTGATGAGCATATTTAACTCAGAAAAGCATCTTTGCCAGAGGCCAGAAAAAAATGTACTCAGTGGCACGTTGGCTATATTTATAGAACTAAAAATCCCAGAGGATTGAACCCAGGCCTTGCCAAGCTCTCGTTACATCCTCTCGCCAAGTGCCAGGTGTAATTAGGCTCATAAGCGTTATTTCTAATTGGCCTTGAGTGCTGGGATGAAAGCGGAGTCCACACTGCCCTCCTCCCTCGGTGCACTAGGCCCTGCTACGTGTCCCTCTGCTTACTCCACAGTATTAGCTGAGAAGGCGTTGGGGGACTAGCAATAGCTACCTGTTATAAAGCGCTAGAGATTTACCACAAAACCCTGTACACAAAAACAAGACTTTAGTTTTCTAGAACTGAACTTCACCCCCATTTTCACAGGACAAGAACCGTGAGGGTCTTGTTCCCGCAGTACTGTCCACACCTAGCTGGGCAGCTGGAACCACCAATGCTAACAGATGTCTGTTGAATAATTGAATGACATTAGATCCCCAACCTAAAGTTCAGAGACATTGGGAAAGGCGCCCAGTGTCATGTGATCAGGAACTCCTGGCAGAAGAGACTCCTTTGGGCCACACACGTTATCTAGTCGAGATGCTTCTGGATCCCTTCCTTCCTTCCTCAGTCTGTCAGGACTCTTGGAGGCAAGTGACAGACAACCCAGTTCTAGCTGCCTTAGGCAAGACATGAAACTTATGTGCTCAGACGACTCAAAAACCTACAGACACAAACGGCTTCAGACATAGCTGGATCTAGGGGCTTAAGCCGTTGTCATCAGGGTGTGACCTCCCTCCCATATCGGGGTCTCTCTGTTCCAGCGTCAAGCCTTCCCCCGCCGCAGGCTTGCTGCGTTCTTACTACCTGGAGCACTGCAGAAAAGCCACTTCCTTTAGCTGCTTCTCCTCATCTCCCCGCTCTCTCTGGTCCTGGAATGGCCACCACCCGCTATGCTCCGGAGAGGCTGAGGTTTTGCTTGGCTAAGCTTGAGCCAGAGAGGGAATCAGCGCTGGTGGAACAGCATGTAGACAGAGAGTGGGGAAGGAAGGCTGCCACCAGGGGCTGGGCTGCCACGAAGAACTGTTGCTCCTGACATTCATCATTCTCTCTGGCCTCTTTGCACAGAGTCCGGCAGACAGGGAGCTGCAGACACAGACGTGACACAGCCCTTCGCTCCCAGGGAGTTCAGACCACAGTGCAGGACCAGGAGTAGTCAAGGGAACATAAAGTAAGAATGGGCAAGCAGCCTGGCTGGTGTCCCCCTGGCCCTGTTCTCCTGGAAGCTGCTGGACAACAGCTGGAGACTCAACCGCTTCCCTTCTACCAGAACCCCTGGGGCTCCCAGCCCCTTCCTCCTTGGTGTCACCACCATCACCACCTCTTAGAAAAACTCACTTCGCCAGCCGTAAGGGGCAACGTTCTGTCTCCTGTGGCGCCCAGTTAACTCTTCAGCATTTACCTTGAGGTGAAATGTCAATTTCATGAGCTTTCCAACTCAACTGCTGCCCTGCCAGTCCTGCTGTAGGTGGCCAGCTGTGTGGAGGCAGGGTCACAAGCCCAGATGTGAGTTGTAGCCATGTGAACAAAGGAGAGAGAGAGGGTTGAGAGCACAGGGAGCCAGGGTGCAGGGTGACAGATGACAGTTCTGATTTATGTTCCAGGTCATTGGAGATCCGGGTCATGTGTAGCGTGCTTGGGGCAGGGTGCAGGAGCGCGGTGAATGTATGCACTATTGGGGAGCGAAGGCAGCGATGGAAGGGGAGTAATTTCTGGTGACCTGGGCTACGGTGCTGGCAGGTGGTGGGATCGAGGGAAGTGGGAGAAAGATGCCGTCTCTTAGTGGGAAGATTTGTAAAAAATTTGTGGCCATGTTTAATCTACCACGGACGAGAACACTGAGGCCCGGGAAAAGGAAGTGACTGATCTAAGACCGTGCATCAGGTCGGTGGGTGTCAAGATGGGGAGCAGAGCCTGTGTCTCCCACCTCCAGCCCTGTGCGGTTCCTTCCACACCCACACAAGCCTCCTTGGGAAGGGAGGACAGAAAAGTGTGCCCACGGTAAAGTGTGCCCCAAAGCCCTGGATCCAACGCATCAGTCACATCCTTGCCACCTCAATCCCCACACAGTGGCATTCACAGAGGTGAGAGGACAGGGAAATGGACCGAACGGTTCACGAGAAGCACAGGAGGGAGCGGCTGGGTGCAGGCTTTGGTCTCCTCCTCATGGTGCACCTGACATCGCTTCAAAGGATGCGGCACATGGCTCCTGCCGCAGCGCATCCAGGCCCTGGCTAACCTCAGTGGGCACACAGGTCAGGCCCAGTGAATGCAGCTCGCGTTTGCCTTCTCCACCAAATAGCATCCTTCCCATCTCAGCATTTCCAGGGCCTGCCGGCAGCTCAACACCAAATAAAGATCTGTGACCGAGTGTAGGATTCAGGCCAAAGGGGGGAGGGTGTGGTGGCACTGGAACCCATGGCGCAGAACCCACACTCTGCTGAGCTGGTTTTCCGGAGGCTGCTCCGGAAGAGCTTAACTTGCAACACGGCACACCCTTGGGAGCCAGACCGCTGTGAACCGGGAGCACCGGAAGCTGCAAGAATGCACGCGGAGTCAGGGCTTTGGGACCTAAGCTGGGCTTTCCTCACGCCAATGCTAACTTCTCTGCCTAGGGGAGAGGGCTGCCTCCATGCTCTCCATCTGGGTCTCCCAGGTGGGTAAGCGAGGTCCAAGCCCTCAGGCCACCTGCTGCTGCTTTTCCCAGTCCATTAGCAGGCAGCTGGATCAGAAGCAGAGCAGCCAGAACTTGAACTGGCACGCATACAGGACTCCGGCATCACAGGCAGCAGCTTAACCCTTTGTGCCACGACGCCGCCCCTGCCCCCATTTTCTCAATGTGAAATGGATGAAGGGGCATGTTGTTTACATGTATGTGCTTTGCTACATCCAAGGTTAGCCGCTAACCTTGGCTAGAACAGCCCTGGCAAGCTGTTTCCCAGGGAGCTCCGTCTTCCCACGAGCGTCCTGACTTGTCACAGTAAACAGAAAGCTTTGCTCCGAGCAACTCCCACTTGGAGCCGATGAACTGGCAACACTGCAAGCAAGCGCCTGCGATCAGACAATGGGAAGGACGGCACCTCTGGACCTGTGCTAGGGATGGAACAGCTGGAATGCTGCCGTGTCCACGTGGCTCTGAGGGCCGCTACAGAGGCAGGAGGTTGTGCTCCTGAGGACAGGACCACGCCCGGTGCTCAGTAAATGTCTGTCGGATGAGCGAAAGTTCTCTGTCCCTCACTGAAGAGCCAGATGCCGGCTCCTCTCTTGAAAACACCTGCGAAGCCCTGAATGCAGAAGTGTGACTCCACCTAGTGGACACGCCAGGGTTATGCCTGGATTGGCGACATTTCTTCCCGACCTGTGTTCTGCAGCTTCTCCAGGTGGCTGTTCCAGCTCTCCCTGTTTGCACAGACGGCTGAGAGTGGCAGCACAGCCTTGCAAGAGAGCAGGCGCCTGTCTGGAGTCCTGCCATGGGCAACTGGAGAAAGAAGCTACTGAGGGTCGGAGCGGACCTGGTAAGATGAATGGGTTTAGAGCTGCTGGTGTTGTGCAAGACACTGAACCAGCCGTCCTAAGGCCTGCCGCTCCTCTGCTGCGTGGCCTTGGGCAACCCCCTTGCTCTCTCCAAGCCTCTGCTTTATCATCTGAGAGGGCAGGGGCTGGGATCAGACCTAGCTGTGATGATTGAGCCCTTCCCATGTGCCCCTTGCCAGTTCTCAGATCCCAACACAGCCTCACTTGGTGTGCGGGACCACCCTGCTCAGGTTACTGCTGAGGATGCCTGGGCTTTAGCTTAAGTAAGAAGCCCAAAGCCTGATGGCTACCAAAGGTCAAAACCAGGATTTGAACTCAGATCTGACTCCAGTGCTTGTACATAGGCTCTGTGTCGTCCCAACCTTTACCTTCTTTCCAAAGCCCTCTGCAGTTGTACACACCTGCCACTTGGTCTCCTTTGGGTGCAAGATGTGGCCTCTGGGGCCACACCCCCTCAGTGTGAACCCTGGTTGTACTTATGTACGACACCCCAGGCATGTGACCTTGGGCAGATCGCTTAGTAAACTCACTCCATTTCATTGTCCCCATCTGTGAAATAGAATGACAACAAAAACATTTTGTAAACACATATCACCTAGAGTACCACTCTGCTTGTCCAGCCTGCTTTAACTATAGACAACTGCATTTACATAAACACGGAGATGTTTTAACTATTATTTTCTGCCTCTGTTTATTGCTCCTTATGACACAGTCTGAAAGACATGTAAATTTAGACCCTTAATGTTATGTCCAAGTGGATCATATTTATAGTTAGACACTACAAACTACAGGACTGAAAAATTTCTCCCTACATTTAAAAAAATATTTATTTATTTGAAAGGCAGTTTCATAAAGAGAAAGAGAGAGAGAGAGATCTTCCATCCACTGGTTCACTCCCAAAATGGTCATAATAGCTGGGCTAGGCCAGGATGAAGCCAGGAGCCAGGAACTCCACCCAGGTCTTCCATGTGGATGGCAGGAGCCCAAGCACTTGGACCATCATCCGCAGCTTCCCCAGGCTCATTAGCAGTGAGCTGGATTGGAAGCAGAGCAGCCAGGACTCCAGCCAGCAGTTAGATGGGATGCTGGTGTTGCAGGTGGTGGCTTAACCCTCTGTGCCATGAAGCCGGTCCCCCAAAGCCTTAACTTTCGGTGCCATCTTTCCTAAGAATGAAATGGTTTTTATCTATTGCTTGGTAACACAGCTAATTCCTAAAACTTTCAGAAGACCAGTGGCTGGAAAGGGTGGCTGCATATAGCATGTTCTGAAGCCTTTTCTCACAAGGTGCCCCTGGTGAGAGACAGCAGGAAAAAGCCACCCAGTGGGCACTGTCATTTAACAGACCACAGCAGGCTTGAAAACTAGCTGGAAGCTCCAGGCAGGGGAGAAGACATTTTGAGGGGGGAGGCAGTAAACGTCTGTGTGAATGACTATCAGACAACGGAGTTCTTTTTTTTTTTTTTTAAGATTTTTATTTATTTATTTGACAGGTAGAGTTACAGACAGTGAGAGAGAGAGACAGAGAGAAAGGTGTTCCATCCGCTGGTTCACTCCCCCGATGGCTGCAACGGCCGGAGCTGTGCCGATCCGAAGCCAGGAGCCAGGAACCTCTTCCACGTCTCCCATGTGGGTGCAGGGGCCCAAGGACTTGGGCCATCCTCCACTGCCTTCCGGGGCCACAGCAGAGAGCTGGACTGGAAGAGGAGCAACCAGGACTAGAACCAGCACCCATATGGGATCCCAGCGCCGCAGGCGGAGGATTAACCTAGTGCGCCACGGTGCCAGCCCAGCATGGAGTTCTTAAGATGCTTGAACACAGATACATACCTGACACATTTTGAGGGTCTTCTTCCACATCTGACTCCCATTCCTTTCCCAAGTCCTGACCCTATATATTGAGGAGTCTTCATGAAACTTGAAGGGGACGGCATTGGAGCGTAATGGGTTAAGCCACCACCTGCAACACTGGAATCACAAATGGACGCAGGTTAAGTCCTTGCTGCTTCACTTCCTGGGAAAGCAGTGGAAGATGGCCCAAGTCCTTGGGCCCCTGCACTCATGTGGAAACCTGGAAGAAGCTCTTGGCTCCTGGCTTTGGCCTGGCCCAAATCCAGCCATTGTGGCTATTTGGGGAATGAACCAGAGGATGGAAGATCTCTAATTCTGCCTTTCAAATAAATAAAATAAAAAGCTTATGGGAGGGCTGGCACTGTGGCGTAGCAAGTAAAGCTGCCTCCTGCAGTGCCAGCATCCCATATGGGTGGAGTTTGAGTCCTGGCTGCCCCACTTCCAATCCAGCTCTCTGCTATGGCCTGAGAAAGCAGTGGAAGATGGCCTAAGTCCGTGGGCCCCTGCACCCACGTGGGAGACCTGGGAGAATCTTCTGGCTCCTGGCTTCAGATCGGCACAACTCCAACTGTTGCAGCCCTCTGGGGAGTGAACCAGTGGATGAAGACATCTTTCTCTCTCTACCTCTCTGTAATTCTTTCAAATAAATAAATAAATCTTAAAAAAAAAGCTTATGGGAAATGTATATTATGAAATGATTATACTTAGATTTCAAAATTTTTTACACTTAAATAAACTTGTCTTCCAAGTCTAGTTTTCCATGAAAGATATGAAGGGCCCTGGTATAGACTTTTTTGTTTTGTTTCTATTAATTATTCAAAAGGCAGGTACAGAGAAAGGAAGAGACAAAGAGAGAGAGAAGGAGAGGGAGGGAAAGGGAGTGGGAGAGGGAGGGAGACGGAGAGAGAGAATCTTTCACTCCCCAAATTGGCTGCAATGACTGAAGCTGGGCCAATCTGAAGCCAGGAGCTTCTTCCAGGTCACCCTTGTGGGTGCAGGGGTCCAAGCACTTGGGCCATCCTCCTCTGCTTTCCCAGGCACATTAGCAGGGAGCTGGATCAGCAGTGGAGAAGCCAAGAATAGCACTGGCCCCCATATGTGATGCTGGAGTCGCAGGTGGCAGCTTTATCCACTACACCACGGTGCCCCACTACCTTCCTTTAAAGCAGCCATGTGATGACAGGGCAGTGGGAACCCCCAGTCAGCCCGAAGGAAGGCCAGGCCGTTAATCTCAAGGCTGGCATTGCTCCAGCCTTGAACTTGGAGGAATCCTCCTCGTAGTTCAGCCTGGAGTGTGCAGCCCCAGCCGCAAGCTGTTCAGTGTCCTGACCCCTGCTGCGCCAACATCACAGCCGCTGACCTATTTCCTGGCTTTGCCAAGAAACCCTCATGCACTGGGCTTTCTCAGTCTTTCCTGTGTCTGCTCCCCAAGCACGCAGTGTCTTAGGGGGGACAAGGTTGTATTTTCAGGACACAGTGGAAGCAGAGCCATGGTTCAGCTCAGACTGGCTCATTTTTAAAAAACCAACAACTGTGAAAAAAACCAGGATGCCTAGCTAAGCTTGAGGCTTTTTAGGATGGCTTATTCGCTTTGGAAAGGTTGCAGCTAAGAGCAAACTCCATTTTTAATGGCTGTCTCAGCAGCAGCCAGCACACGGCTCTCTTGTCCCCCCCTCCCCCCAACGGAAGTCAGAGTTGCAGCCCGGCTCCGCAGGATCTGGCCGCGAATGCACTTCTCCATCCTTAGCAGGAGGAGGACAGAGGTGGCCTCTGTAGGGGCTTTGCTCATGTAGAAAGCTCTAGAGGGGCTGGTGCTGTGGCGCAGCAGGTTAATGCCCTGGCCTGAGGCACCAGCATCCCATATGGGCGCCAGTTCGAGACTTGGCTCCTTCACTTCCGATCCAGCTCTCTGCTTTGGCTTGGGAAAGCAGTGGAAGATGGCCCAAGTCTCTGGGGCCCTGCACCTGCATGGGAGACCAGGAAGAAGCTCCTGGCTCCTGGCTTCGGATCAGCGCAGCTCTGGCCATTGCAGCCAATTGGGGAGTGAACCAGCAGATGGAAGACCTTTTTCTCTCTCTCTCTCTGCCTCTTCTCTCTCTGTTTAACTCTGACTTTCAAATAAATAAATAATTTTTTTTTTTAAAGCAAGCTCTAGAAGCAGTTGGGTCTTTGAAGTCTTTCTCAGTTCTCACAAGAGATCCAAAGCCAAACCATTCAAATTGTTCCCTGGACCCGGCAAAAGGTACAAAGTCTACCCTTGTGGGAACGAGAGTGCACCAGGGAGGCCAGAGGTCACCTCTCCAGTGTGATGAACACCGCTGAGCCGCTGCTGGGGCAGGATCCACCTCGGGGGCACTGTCCCCAGGAGCTTTCTCTGAAGACCAACGAGTTGGAGGACCCAGGGGTGGGATCAAAGCTCAGATCAGAGAGCGGTGATATGGGCCAAGCCCCTCCCTGTGTGCCCCAGCACCCTGCTGAGCGTGACTGAGGCAATCAGTGAGGCGTGGGGGTGGGTCCCCGGAGGCTGTGTGCCCACCTCCCACACCTCCCTTCACAGTGAGGGTGGCCCTGCAGCAGTGCAGTCTCCTGGGCTGGGTCTGCTGCATGTCAGGGAGCACCTGCACCTTTGGCATGACTGTCTCCCCCCACCCCGCGATAATCAATACCCATTAATCACCAGTGGATCTGAACCGAATCCTTACACCTGTATCCCCTAATCAACACTCACAGCACAGAACTACAGCCAGAGGATGCTGGCTAGCGTGCCTCAGCCTGCAGGCTCTCTCTCCCTCCCTGGGAGATACTGAACGATCACATTGGGACAGCAGCGGAGAGGAGAGGTGCACCTGGCTCTCCCCATCTCCCCTTAAAGGAGGCATCTTAGCCAAGATGTGCAGCGCAGAGAAAAGGCTTAGAAGTCAGACCGGCGTAGGTCCATGTTCCAGCTCTTTCTGGCCTTGCTGTTTGTGCCACAGTGTTTCTGTCTGTAAGACGGGAATAAAAATCCTTACCAGGCAGGGTGGTGTGTGAGGACTGAGAGAATGCCCATGAAGAAGGTGGGGTGGGTGCTGTGCAGGTTAAGCCGCCACTTGGGATGCTGGCATCCCACGTGAGTGCCGATCGGAGCCCCATCTGCTCTGCTTCCGATCCAGTTCCCTGCTATGGCCTGGGAAAGTAGAGGAAGATGGCCCAAGTGTGTGGGCCCCTGCACCCATGTGGGAGACTTGGATGGAATTCCAGGCTCCTGGCTTTGGCCTGGCCCAGTACTGCCTGCTGCAGCCTTTTGGGGAATGAACCAGCAGGTAGAAGATTCTCTATTCCTCTCTAACTCTGCCTAGCAAATAAATAAACCAATCTTTTAAAAAAGAGGAAGGGCAGGGGTAGGTATTGTGGTACAGTTAGGATGGTGATTGGGACGGCCGCACCCCGGATCAGAGTGCCGTGGTTCGAGTCCAGTCCTGCTTCTGAGTCCAGCATTCCTACTATGCACACTTGCAGGGAGAAGACTGAGGCTCATGTCCTTGGGTCCCTGCCATTCATGCGTGTGGGAGCCCTGGATTAAGCTGCAGGCTCCTGGTTTCCACTTGGCCCAGCCCCCAACTCTTGTGGGCAGTTGGAAAGTGAACCAGAACAGATGGGAAGTCTGTCTACCTTTCAAGTGAATAAATGCCATTGAAAAACAAAGAAGAGGAACAAAGTGTGAAGGGATGGGAAACACCCCAGCCTGCAGAGCACTGAAAGAGCGCATGATGCTTCGGTCACACAGAAGTGTGTGGTGAGACGAGGCGGCCTGGCACCCAGGCACTGTTCCGACTGCCCCGGGACGTAAGGCGGCACCTGCACGACAGTCACGTAGTTCAGTTCCCCATGCAAGAGCTCAGAGGCGGAGACGTCCGGGCCCCTGGGCTCCAGGGACCGAGGCTGTCAAGACAGCATCATGGATCAAACTGGAATCCGGGGGTGACTCTTCACGCTCCTCGGTGTGGCAGGCGCGTGGCTGCGAGGCTGCCTCGGGCGAGGTGGCTGACGGAGCTGCTGCCGGCCTTTGGGGACCAAGGCTGCTGCGTGTGCGGTTTAAGCAATCAACACTAAGACTGGCGGCAGCCAGCCGCAGGGCAGGGCCAATCCCAGCTTCCCTCGTACCTCCCTGCTCTTAGGGCCTTTGGTGAACACACCATTCTGCATTAGGTTTTTATTTATTTATTTACCTCTTACTTTAAAGGCAGAGAGACAACACACACACACACACAGATTCCATCTCCTCATTCATTACTCAAAAGTCTAAAAACAGTCACGGCTGGGTCAGGCCAAGGCTAGGAACCTGGAACTCAATCTGGGTCCTCCACGAGGGTGGCAGAGACCCAAGCACTTGGCCACCACCTGCTGCCTTCCAGGGTGCGCATCAGCAGGAAGCTGGATTGGAAGAGGAGCCAGGTCTTGACTCAGGCACTCTGATGTGGGATGGGAGCATCACAGATGCTGTCTTGAGTGCCTGCTCTGGTGTCCCGCATATTGACAGGGCTCTCCCTGCCCCCACCGCTGGGAGAGGGTCTCTCCATCACCCGCTGTGCTGATGCAGTGCCAGTCCCATTCTGCAGATGGGAAGATGGGGGCTGACAGGGAAACTCACCAGGCACTTGTACCAAGCTGAGGTATGACTGTCTTTTCTCTGTTGAGTCCTTAAAACAAAGTTTATTTGAAAAGCAGAGAGAGAAAAAGAGTGAGAGCGAGCTCCCATCTGCTGGTTTACTCCACAAATTACTGCCAACGGCTGGGACTGGACTGAAGCCTGGAATTAAATCCAGGTCTTCCGCTTGAGTGCCACGAACCCCATCACTTGGGCCATGAACAGCTGCCTGCCGGGGTCTGTGTTAGCAGGGAACGAGCCCAGAGCAGGAGGGGGGCATCAAACCCAGGCACCCCGACATAGGACCAGGCAATCTTAATTGCGAGGCTCAACACCTGCCCTGTTGGGTTCATTTTAAAACACGTGGCGCAGTGGGTCAGGCCACCACTTGGGAGGCTGGCATGACACACTAGAGCGCTAGTTCCAGCCCTGGCTGCTCCGCTTCTGATTCAACTTCCTGCTAATGTGCCTGGGAAAGCAGCGGAAGACGGTCCAAGTGCTTGGAGCCCTGCACCTACACGGGAGATCTGGATGGAGTTGCTGGCTCCTGGCGTCAGCCTGGCCTGGGCCTACTTGTTGTAGGCATTTGGAGGAGTGGTGACCCGGTGGATGGAAGATCTCCCTCTCTCCCTCCCTCCCTCCCTCCTTCCATCACTCTGCCTTCCCAGTGAATAAATAAGTCTTCAGGTGCAAGTCCACACCGCTGGGCTTCAGTCTTTCAAAGTGCCCCATTCCTAACCCCAGCGCTTGACTGAAATCCTGAAATCCTTTTTTTTTTTTTTTTTTCCCTTTATAGAGAAGGAGCCCCAGTTTTCAGGGACGGGACTGCTTCGAGCTCCGGTCTCTCCCCAGCTGGCGAGGCTGTGTGGGCCACGCCTCCTCCTGTGGATTCCATCAGTGAGGACGATGAATCGATCGGCTGTCTCACTGGCACGATGAGATGAGTCAGAGGAATCGGCCGCCGCTGCAATCAGATGCAGTCCCGGAAAACGCGGGCTAGGTCATTATGAATTCCTCGTAGGACACAGCAGGGCTGAGAACCGTCTTCTGAGCCAAACACATGATTCACATCAGACGGAGGGCGCAAGTCCTGCCAGCGGCCCTGCGTTCTAAGGGACTTTTTAAGTCCACCCTTTCCAACTGCTAAGACCCAAGGAGCTGGCCAGCGTTTTCTGACCCTTCCTGTTGACGTGCGCTATGAATATATTAATTTCTAATCTCAGTTCATGTCTCCTGCAGAGCTAGAAACACTAACTGGACACTAACGTCTGTGCAATAGGAGCAGAATGTATTTAGTAATGAGAGAGAGTAAACGCACCTTTACGCGAATGTGTGGCCCGCCCCATACAGAAAAAAACAGCCAACGCGAGTGGGCCGAAGAGCTGCCCGTAAATGAGAGAAACCCAAAAACGCTACCTCTGTGGAGTACAGAGAGGGCCGTCCGCAGGAGACAGGACGCAGTGGGCACAGCAGAAACCAGAGCGACACAACCAGAGCCCACGGCTGCAGGAACGCTGGCTCCCGCCTTGCGCCTCTTTTATAAGGAAGTGGGCGGAACCCCAAGCGGATGTACCGCCCCCGGGTGGGGTCTGAGCATGCGCCCTGGTCCTGGATGCCGCAGTTGCATCCTGGGAAGGTGGGCGTATCAAGCCGACGTTCAAAGAGACAGCGTCAATTTTGTTGGGCTGATGGAATTTTAGCTCACCCAAACTTTAACTAGTTGAACCACATCGCTGTGGTGCGGAACTCACTACCCCTTCATCTCATCTTTGGGACGCTTTTCAAAGACTGTTACAAGTCCTTATTCAGGGGCCGGCGCTGTGGCGTGGTGGGTTAAGCCCTGCCTGCGAGCCAGCATCCCATGTGGGCGCCCATTTATGTCCCGGCTCCTCTACTTCCAATGCAGCTCCCTGCTTATGAACCTGAGGAAGCAGCAGAGGATGGTCCAGTTGCTTGGGCCTCTGCACTCGCTTGGGAGACCTGGGAGAAGCTCCTGACTCCTGGCTTCGGATCTACCTACCTTCAGCTGTAGCGGCCATTTGGGGAGTGAACCAGTGGATGGAAGATCTCGCTCTTTGTCTCTCCTTCTCAAATAAATAAATAAATAAATAAATCTTTCTCTTTCTTTTAAGTTTTTGTTCATGCTTAGGTGAAATATGAACCCCTGGAGAATTCCTCGCTGGAACAGCTCTTCTCCCTGGGGCCATCCTGAGCCAAGTTAATTCTCTTATCTCTGCAAGACGTCTGTGCTGGTCATCCCATCTGTTTTTCTGCAGCCTGAACACCCCCAGTCCCGTAGCTGTTTCCTCACCTTCTGCTTATTTCTTTCTGATGAGGCTGCCGTCTCTCTGGGACCCTCATCTAGAGTAGGGGCCACGGGTCCTGTGTCCCATCATCTTTCTATACGCGCAGGGAGCCTGCACACCTGTCCTGTCTCCCTAATGCAGCAGTGAAAACGGAAGCTGCCAGCCTCCCCTGGGGCTCAGTTGTGCCCGGTGAAAGCATGTGGATGAAACTCTGCGAAGGGCACAGCCCGAGGGAGCGGGCACTTCTGCCCCGCAGGGCAGGTGGAGGCAGGGGCACCAAGCCCCCGCCCCCCGTAGGCTGAGTTCCCTGTGCGGGAATAGCAGTGGTGTGGGTGGCAGCAGCGGGCTCGGCAGCTCCAGCTCCAGGAGAGGCAGAGCTGTTGTGATTGATTTCTGTTTCAGAGGGCAGCAGAGGCAGCAGTGACCTCAGCAGGCCAGTGCGGGGCCACGTGAGTGATTGCTGAAGGCGGCCCTTTGGTTTCTGCAGCCCTCTCAGCAACTGGGGGAACCCTCCATTCTTTGAATAGGTCCCCTTTCTTCTTAAATTCTCTGCAGTCGCTGACTACGAGGGACCTTGTCTCCCTTGGGCCCTGCACTGCCTGCCTAGCTCCAGCAGGGATCAGCCCAGAGCCACTACCTCCCTCATTCTAGCAACGCGGCTTCGGGAATGCAGCCCGTAGCTAATCAAACTCTTCTAAGCACTCACACCTGCAGCCGACTTCCATGAAACCACCCATCCATCGCCATCCTCAGAAGGGGGAAGCGTTCAATCCCTGGTCCCAGGGAGTTCTAGAAAGTCAGACTTTCTCTCTGATTAGTTTTCCAAGGGAAAACAAATATCTGAGCTTTCCCCCCAACTCCTCAAACTCCATCTTTAATGTATGAGCCTGAGGTCTTTGAAGTGCTGAGAAACGCAGTCATTCCCTTGACAAGGAAAGAAAATAATGAGTAATTACAGATAAAAGCCTGCCACCTTTTCTTCCTCCCCACTCACTCATGCCCCACGGCACACAAGCGACAAGTCTCAAGGTCACCAGCTACTCCGCTCAGCCCTCCCCACAGCCAAGGTGTTTTGAAGTGAACATGGAGAGGACAGCTGGCTTTCATTCCTCTCCCTCCTCCTGGGTGTGCCTCCCTCTCCCACCAGGGCTGCGGTAAAAAAGCCTCCGGACACACTCTTAAAATAAGCAAGAGCCGTCTCCTTTCCTCCACCTGCCAGCCCTCATTGAAGACAAAAGGAGAGGTTGGGAGCTGGCCCTTGGCCCAGTGGTTAAGCTGCAGCTTGGGGATGCCACCCAAGAGAACCACAGATCTGCTGTGGACTTCTGTGGCTGACTGTGAAAGTGAAGGTAGCACGAGTTATTCCCTAGGCTGACTTCAGATGACCCCTCTGCCCAGGAACATTGAATTTCAAATGGTTTTCTCAGACGGATTGCTAAAATGTTTCCACTGTCTGAGTCAGAAAAAAAGGGTCACAGTGACCCTCAGGCTGAGGTTCTAGAAAAAAGCCGGGCAACAGGAAAACAATCAAGGGTCCTGCTGGCAGCAGACATGGTTTGAGATGCCTCTCTGATCTCCTCACTCTGCACCTCTGCCATTCAAAGAGTCAGCCCCCGGACACCTGCTAGAAATGCTGACTCCAGGGAACAGGCGGTTAGCCCAGTGATTTCCCACATTAGAGCGCATGGGTTCAATTCCTGGCTCCTCACTGCACCTTCCTCCCGGTGCACACCCTGGGAGGTAGCAGGTGATAGATCAAGTCCCAGGCCCCTACATGGGAGACCTAGATGGAGTTCTGGGCTCCTGGCTTTGTCCTGGCCCAACTCTGCCTGGGGCTGGCATCTGGGGAGTAAAACAGCAGGTGGGAGCTCCCTCTCCTTTCCTTTTTCTCTCATTAATAAATAAATAAATAAAATGAAGTGCTGAATTGGGACAGGCATTGTAGCCAGGTCCCCAGGGCTCAGGGCACCGGAGTAAGTTTGAGAAACACTGCCTAGTACCACCACTGAGGTGTCTGTGAGTCAGCTGGCCACGGGAAGAGGGGGATTGATTATAGAGCTGGAGACCATGTAGCCTGGGGCGGCGGGAAGGGCATGGACCTCAGAGAGTCATCTCCCACAGCCACTGCAGGTGCAGGCATCACGGAACAGCCTTTCCCCTAGGCGGCAGGCACTTCCCCTCCACATCTGCAGCAGGAGGACGAACCTCCGTCCAGCTCTCAGGAGACGTAAGCGGCATCCGATCCAGCTCCCTGCTAACGAACCCAGGGAAGCAGCAGAGGCTGGTCCAAGTGTTTGGGCCCCTGCCACCCATGTGGGAGATCTGGATGGAATTTCAGACGTAAGTGACCAGAGTGGCAGCTGCCCCAGCCAAGCGGTCCTGTTTCATACTTCCGTGTTTGGCTGAAAGCAGTTGGGACACAGGGGGTGCTACTGAGCAAGCTCGTGAAACACCCAACTTCCTTGGATGGGCGACAGGTGATGAAAGCTGGTCTCCTAGGGCCGCTTATTGTGCGGTTCCATTTATAGAATATTCTCGAAATGAGGAGACCACGGAGGGGAGATAGAGGAGCGGCTGCCCAGGGTCAGGGAGCGGTGGAGCGAGGGAGGTCTTCATGGTGATGGATTAGTGACCGTGGTGGGAGCTACACGGACACACACATCGTGCTAACAGCAATTTCCTGCCATTGCACAAAATTACACGAGACGTGGATGACGATGTTGCGGGCGGGATTGAGGTGAAGGGTCCGCAGGACTTGTCTCTATGGTTGTTGCATTTTCCTGCAAATCTATGATTCAAACAAAAAAATGAAGACTCCACCCAAATCTGCAAAATTCAAAAAGGAAATGGTCGTTGTGTGGACACAACCTAGCGATACGCCATCTTTATAACACGAGAGCCTTGTTCTGAGGCTTTTCCTGGGCTTCCTTCCAGGGGCCTGTTTACCAAAGGCATCACTGCTCATGCGGTCTGTTTTTCTAAGGCTGCCTGGGTACAGTCTGGAATGTGGTCAGGCTGATGGCTTCACCGCAAGGTGCTAATACATAAAGGGACTAAGGGGAGTGCCACACGTCCTAGCCTGTGCTCACCGTGGGCCCAGCATGGAGAAGAGGCCCGGCCAAGGTCGCCCTTGGGATTTGCTGCCCAGGACACAGCCCCTCTCCTCCACCAACCAGCCCCGTCTCTGTGCAACTCTGCATCCCAGAGGTTTGAGGTGACATTAAAATTCAGAACTCATCCGAAGGTTAACTCTGAACAGCAACATCCAAAGATCGTATCAGCGACATCAGGGCATCTCTTTTAATTGCCTATTCACGCGGACAGATTGTCTTTTCATATTGCGAGCTAAACTTGGAGATGCGCCCTTTCGCAGGGCAAGCGTCTTATCTGCCTCATCAGTACCAGGACTAAAGTGCAATGTGATTGCTGAGCACGCGTTCTATTTTTTTTTTTCCTTTCAACCAGGCAGGAAGTTTAAAATCTGCTGGGTTATTTTTAAAGAGGGTGAAAAATAGGCATCGTATCAGCTTCCGCAGTGGCCCTGTCCAAAGGCACGTGCTGGAGTACTCATGGCCTCGGCCAGCTTGGGAACCACAGAGGTGCAATGCGGTTGGATTGGGGGGGGTGTTTCTCGGTGGCTGGAAGGGTGGGGGCGGTGTCCACAGCCTCAGGGTGCAGCACAGGACATGTGGGTTCCTGTGGGACCCGTGCAGTTGATGAGGACAAGGATCTTGGGAGTTTTCTGGAGTTGACGTGGAGTGGTTTGTTCTGTTTAGGGATCTGTGACTTTCTTCTTCCCCACAGAGCCTTGGTCTGAGAGTTGGCTCTGGAGCCTGCTGGGCCCCCTGTGGGCCTTGGAGCTCAGACACGCACTGTGGCAGTGCATCACGGGAGTCTGAATGAGAGCCTCACATTCCTGAGTCAACAGGAATTTGGAAGGGCTAACCCTGCAGCGCTCATACTCCTAAGAAAGGAAACCAGCTGAACTTGGCTTCTGTTAGACTCAATATTTCTTCATAATATTTTTACTTAATTAAAAAGAAAAGAGAGAGAGAGAGAGGGAGAGGGGGAGAAAGAGAAAGAAAGATATCTTCCATCCATTGGTTCACTGCCCACAACAACCAGGGCCAGGTTAGGCTGAAGCCAGGAGCCAGGAGCTCCCATCTGGACTCCCATACAGGAGGCAGGGACTCAAGTACTTGGACTATCATCTGCTGCCACCCGCAGTGCACAGTAGCAGGAAGCTGGATGGGAAGCA